GGATCCCTAAACTTAAGCCTGTTTAGCATTGTTTGTTTTAGTTGCTTTTTTAAATGATTTCTTTTATTATTATGCTGACCTCGTGTTTGTTTTGCGTGGACGCCAAAATAATATATAAATAAACAAACCTACAAGAATGCAAGTTAAATAAAATGTTGTAAAAAAATAAAAAAATCATTTAGAAAAAAAACAGTTGTAAAGATTTTAAAAAATCAATAACCTGCTTTATTGTTGCATTTTCCTTCTAAAAGAAGTACACCATTAATTCTTTGACAATGGCTATGTGGCTTGCTCGGTTTTAAAGCCATTTTATAGGCCGTTCTTAAAATTTTTGACGATGCATAGCGGCTGTTATGTGGTACCGAGTTTTCTATATTGAGATTGGTAACTCGACTACTTCCAGGATCTTCAGAGTACCCATTTTCAATTTGTAATGCCAACCTATGACATTGTCCTTTAAGATGGCATACAACCTTCATTATTATCAAATAAATTTATGATTAAAATTAGATAACTCAATAAAAAGTCGGTTCTCTTTGCAATGTAATAACTAATAAGATAAATTCACGGCACATTATATAATACTTTATACATAATACTTTTAATGAAACATAGTAAAATAACTAAATTCATAAGTAAAAATTATTACAACTAATCCGTTTTCTTCTGTGTACCCGATAACTGATTCTTTCCCCCAAGAAAGAAAAGCTTTTAAGCTCTTAGATATTGGTTTACAAACTCTAATTAATTTTGCTTCAGTTGTCATTCAGCCATTCATTTCAGCCATTCTTACAAACTTGTTATACTTAAACTTAAAGTTACTTTTTTCTGTTTTAAATACTAATTAAAATTAAAAAGCCCACTCACTAACATCATCTGCGGTATTACGAAGCAGTTCCGCTTCCTCTTCATAAATTATTTTTTAAATGGTTTTTAACATCTTTTTAGATGGTTTTTAACATTAATTTCATTTAGTTTTTTTAAAGGAAAAAACCTTTTTTAACTAATGTTAAGTAATCGTTTTTGACTTTTTTTAATGTTACAATTGAATGAATAATAAAAAAGAGTTAACGAACTTTAATTAATGCAGCGTAAGTGTAATTAGTTATAAATGCTAGTTTCATCTGCGTCATTAAAAAAAGAATTTTGAAAAAAAAAATGTTGTCCAAAAAAAGTTTCTTTTAGTTTAATCAAGTTTTTTTAGGTTTAATTATTTTTATTTGTTGACAAATTTTTTTTAGGTTACTTTTTTTTTTAACTTTCTTTTAGTTTAGTTTAATTTGTTCAACGCATTTTAGAAATAATTAAATATCAACATTTAACATTAACATAAACATCATCAACCATTTGCCAATGTGTAAATGCTTGATGGCCAAATTATCGAAACAAAATATAATAATGGTGTATGATCACATGACTTTCTGATCAAGCCTGCAACAAACAACGCTTTAGCACAGTTCAAAAATAAGATATTACAATCAGGTAAATAAGAATAAAAAATCTTTATTTCAAAGATAATAATTTATTAATTACCTTTGAGGATTTTGTATTCCATCGATTGACATAACACATCGCTCATTTAAAAGTTTCTCGCTCTCACACCTTATTGCAGTAAGGTGAGAAGCTGTTTCAAAATGTCTTTGAATTGTGTGGATTGACACAAAGTTCATCCCATCGATAAACGGTAAAGCACATTGTCGTATCAAACCTTTACAACCTTGTAATACCGCTTCTCTATTTTTTGTACAAACTTTGCAGTAAATTTTAATAACGTATGTAGTTCCGTTGGTATTTTCAGTTCTAAAGCCTATTACCTCTTCAAATTTCCATTTAATAAATGTTGACATCATTACTTTGTTTCCTTTTGGAATGTCCTTGATTGCGAACATTCTAAACAACAGAATCGTTTTAAATTTGAGTTAAAATAAATAATAGCTAGTAAAAAACCTATACTTTGAACAAAAACTTATTTTAAAAATTACTCTTTTATTAATAGTTATTTTTATTATAAACGATGTGTGGAATATTACAATTATTTTTATTATAAACAATGTGTGGAATATTACAATTATTTTTACTATAAACGATGTGTGGAATATTACAATTATTTTTATTATAAACGATGTGTGGAATATTACAATTATTTTTATTATAAACGATGTGTGGAATATTACAATTATTTTTATTATAAACAATGTGTGGAATATTACAATTATTTTTATTATAAACGATGTGTGGAATATTACAATTATTTTTATTATAAACGATGTGTGGAATATTACAATTATTTTTATTATAAACGATGTGTGGAATATTACAATTATTTTTATTATAAACGATGTGTGGAATATTACAATTATTTTTATTATAAACGATGTGTGGAATATTACAATTATTTTTATTATAAACGATGTGTGGAATATTACAATTATTTTTATTATAAACGATGTGTGGAATATTACAATTATTTTTATTATAAACGATGTGTGGAATATTACAATTATTTTTATTATAAACGATGTGTGGAATATTACAATTATTTTTATTATAAACGATGTGTGGAATATTACAATTATTTTTATTATAAACGATGTGTGGAATATTACAATTATTTTTATTATAAACGATGTGTGGAATATTACAATTATTTTTATTATAAACGATGTGTGGAATATTACAAACATTAAATCAAATAAATCTTACTTAATATTCACAAGATTAAAATTTTTGTTTTTTGTTATAAAAGCCCTGAAAATTAAATAGATGCATTTAATTTGGTATTTATCTTGTAAAAACTTTAAAATGAAATATAAAAGCGTTTTGAAAAAAAATTGTCATGTTGATAGTGTTAAAATCAATTCAGATAAAAAATATGTTAAATTTTATTAGAAATAAAAATCTCACAGTTTTTGAATTGTCTTTTTATTTGAATTCCTCTGGTCATTTTGATTACGTACCCTGTATGATATTGACAATTAGTTTCTATATTAAGATACTATTAAATAAAATATTAGTCAATTTGGATCTGCAGTTTCAATTTTCTTATAACGGTTCTCTAGTTTTCTATTCTTATTTTATTTGCGCATTTTTATATTCGCATTGTGTTTCCACATGCGCATTCCATTAGTGACTTTTAACGACTTCAAAATGCTCATTCATTATATTTGTTCAAAAGAGAATGATGTAGTGCTTTTTTATATTCTATATCAGTGCTTTGATAATATATCTTCACTAAAAATTCTTTTTTTAATGTTTTGTGAAAATAAAAAAATAACTTATAATTTTTTTAGTCCCTTGGACTCTTGGACAAGTGTTATTTTATACACTCGTTATAAGCTGAGCAAGCATTGTTTATCACACCTAGAACGTTTAAAAATACCGTTTACGGGCGCATTTTACAAGCGGAGCGCGATTGCACTCGCTTCATCACAAGCCCTGCATGGGTCTTGCAGTGTCTTGTAAATTTTATTCCAAACAAATTATTTACTTCCAATTATCAGAATACTGTTGATACTTCTATATTGATGAATGACAAAGTTTTACTGAGCTCTCTACTTTATATTTTGTTGGATTGTCATTCACTACTGGCCTCTGATAGAGACAATATATACAATTCATACCTAAATTAGCATCTCTAAGGTTCTTTATGGTTATTATATTCCCCTCTTTTTTTTTCCTTATGTCTCTAAAAATCTCTAATTTGTCCCTGTATGGAATACTGTTGTCAGATTTGGACTGGTTCTCCTAATGGTATTCTTGTCTCTTCTAGACAAAGTCCAATAATGTATTGTAAATGTTGTAGGATTTGCTCTAATTACTAAGTATGAGGTATCTGTCGTTATAAAGTTCTTTTGTTTTTCTGTAAATATTATCATGGTTACTGCTCAAAATAGCTGTTATCTCTTGTTCCATCAACTAAAATTCAATCTTGTGTGACTCATCATTTAGGAAAGTTGCATTCTTTTACTTTATTTGTTCTAAAAATATTTATTTATTAAGTTTTTTTCCTCGCACACCAATATTTTGGAACTCTCTCTCATTTTCATTTTTTCCTGAATCATTAAATTTACAGTTATTTAAGTTTTTTGACAACTGTTTTTTGTTCTTTAAAAGTTTTCTTTGTTTCTAATAACTCACAAATTCAATTGTGATTGCTTGCAATCTTGCCTATATAGGGTAGATTAGGATAATATGAGCACCTTAAGCAAAAAATGATATGTTTTCAAAAATCATTACAATAGATACAAAATTTTTGCAAATAAATAATTTTTAGGGATCAATCCCCATGATTCAAATAGATATTTGGGCACCCAAATTGTTTAGTAAAAACACAGACTTTTTAATAAAGTCGCAAAAGTGCTCATATTACCCAGACCACTTGAGCATTTTTAATAAGCTCAAAATAATAACATTAAGTGTAAATAGCATTAAGTGAAAAAAGATCATCCTGACAATTATAACTAGTTTGTGAAATATAATGATTCATTATTAACAAAACTTATCATATATATACATAAAATTAAAGGTTTAAAAGTTTTCATTCTTTATTTTTACGTTGTTTTTTTCTTGAGCTTTCATATATATCTATATATAAGTCAATAAGAAAATATGAGTATATTTTCTTATTGACTTTGTTGAATTCTGCGCATAAACTTGGTTCATTTTTACAACATGTGGTTTTATTGTCACAGCAATTGTTACCTACATATCTGTTAATAATTGGCCACAACATAAGACAAAAATTTAAGTTTTTGGTCTTGAAAATGTTTGTGTAGGCTTTGACCTTAAAACTCGTGGCCTTAGCCTTGTTCTTGTAGCATGTGGCATTAGCCATGCTACTTTTGGCCTTGTTAACAACTCTAATATATATATATATATATATATATATATATATATATATATATATATATATATATATATATATATATATATATATATATATATATATATATATATATATATATATATATATACATATATATATAGTATTTTTATATTAGATATTCTTGTAAATAAAAACGATGAAGTTAAAAAAATATATGACAATCAGTTGGTGAGAACAGATTCCAGGGAAAGGAAAATTGATGCATTTTTTACAACGTCAACTCAAAACCAGAGTAATGAATCAATTACATTTCAGTGTAACAGCAAAGACCCTGACAGAATACCTGATACAACTGAAAGGTATTTTTCAACTTATTATTTAAAAAAATCATTACAAGATAAATGGCAGATGGCCCTGTAGCATTTAATATCAATAAGTTTCAACAAATAAAAAAATGAATTTTTATCAAATTATCAACAATTTTTTATGCATAAATAAAAAAATATTTTAATAAAAAACAAAACTTTTATAAATTCATTTCATTTTTATTTTCCTTAAATTTTTGAATGCGGGTACTTTTTTTCACTTTTTGTTTTTTTTTGTTTTTTGAAACCTAATTTAAAATTTTAAATCAATTCTGTATTTTACATTTATGTACTCTGAAAAACATTTAACATTTATGTAAAAGTTATTTTATTTTCAATTAATTTTATATTTAAGTTTAATCTGATTAAACAATTAGTTGATTAAAATTTAGTTGATTATGCCTAAGAAAAAAGTAGTATTAATTTAAGTGTAATAGCATTGTTATTTTATACTGCAAAAGAAAAATGATTTTACATATTTATACTGACTAAATTTATTTTTAATGTTATCATTTATTACTATAATCAAATATATATCATTCAAACACAATTTACGACATTTATTTCAAAGAATTTACTGTTAGGATTTATACACAAGTAATGTTTGTTTGTAAGTTGCTCGTTGGGTTTACTCATTAGTTAATGTATTTTTTAGAATTTATGAGTTATTGGAAATTTATGTTTCAAGTATATTTAGTATTATCACTTTTTTGCTGTTATCAACACATTTATATCTTTATTGTACATTAAAACTCATTTCACTTTTCATATTATTGTTATGTATTCTAATGATCACTGGCATTTTGTGATGTTATAATGACTGTAAATTGTAAAATATTTATCTAGTTTATAATAAGAAATAAGTTCTATATATATGTTTGTTATGCCAGTTCTAATTGTCAATTTCTATTTCTATTAAATGTTATTTTTTTCTACTTTAGAGTTTCGGATATAAATTTGTTTACAAAAGAAAATTTGCAAGGTTATTTATCTTATATTTTGAAGTATTTTTTTTTTATAGGTTTATTAGTTATTTATTATTTGTTATTGATTGGTTGTTATTGTTTATAGATTCAACAAAACGAAAGAGAAAGATTTCTAAAGATTTACCTGACCGAGATATAAAGCTGACAAGTATTCAAAACTTATGTAAAATCATTGATGACAATGAACATTTAGGGTTAAAAAATCTTCTTGAAGATCATAAATTTGTTGGTTGTGTAAAACCATCTTTGGCTCTTGTTCAACATTTAACGAGACTTTATTTAGTGAATACAAGAAAATTAAGCGAAGAATTATTTTACCAAATTCTTATTTTTCGATTTGGTCGTTTTAATTTCATTGAGCTTTCTTCTCCTGCACCAATCTATGATCTTGTTATGTTAGCACTTGATTCTCCGCAAAGTGGTTGGAAGGAAAGTGATGGTTGCAAAACCGAACTAGCTCAATATGTAGTGGACTTATTGTCAAGTAAAGCTGAAATGCTATTAGATTACTTCTCAATGGAGATTAGTGATAAAGGAGAGTTAAAATGCTTGCCACTTCTATTGGATAAATATATACCGAGTTGGAATGGTCTTCCTATGTTTTTGCTACGACTTGGAACTGAGGTACAAGTTTTTTAATAGTAATATTTATCGGAGAATGGAAATAGCTTGAATCCATGAATAATTTTCTTTAATTTAGGAAAATGATTTCTTTTTGAAATGTATTTTAAATATAATCTTTTGCATTTTGATTTCTTAATCAGACAAAAAATAAATAATAGTGTATAATTATATATAAAATAAATAATAATAACATAGTGGACACTAATCATGGAAATCTTGGAATTCAAAAGTCATGGAGTATTATTCAGTTATAAGAAATTCATAGCACTTTTATTTGAACTTATTTTGTCTTTCTATGAATGATATTTTAAAAGTATTTGATATTTTAAAAATATAAAGTTTTAAAAGTATTTAAACATAAAATTTTGTCTAGTCTTCAGACTAGACAAAATGCTTTGTTTTTTTGAAATGATAGCAAAAACTTTAGCTATCTTTACAAAAAAAGATAGTATTGCATGGTAAGCTGTTGATATTTTTTTTAGTTGCATTCAAACTAAAATAATATAAAGAAAAGGTTTTAAATTATGTATTTTAGAGGCCTAATTTTTCATACTTGTGTAAATAGTCTTGTGTTAATTAATCATGTATTTGTGTTAATGAAGGGTTTTATAATAAAACTTTTCATAGGTAAGCTGTTTCACCACAAATAAGGAACTTTATAAATCCCAACCACCTGCAGTTTGACCAAATAATCAAATGTCATCATTTAATATTCTGTTCTGCTCTAATCGATACCCTAAATAATTTAACGAAGCTCGATTCCGCATTTACTTCATCACCTGTGCAACTGCAGACAAAACAACATTGATAACAACAGCTACTTGCTTGGTTACAATGCTCTTCTTCAACCGATGCTTTACTTTCAGTGTTATGAAACTCTTTGGTGCATGAAAATCATCTTCAGAATCTAGTACTGACAAGGCACAGAAAGAAATATTGTGAAGAGTAGTTGGTGGATTTTGCCTACAAAGATGAATTGCAGACACAGGCTAGTGTGATTCTGATATTGATTTTAAGTTTTTATGTTATTTAAATTTCACAAATTATGATTACAACCAATTCCACAAAAAATTAGTATATTTAGTTATGTGGTCTTAGTTCATACACTGCTTACATAAAGCTAGCACATAATAATAAAAAATCTGTTTAATATTTACCTTAAACCAATTAGTCTCCACCCCATCATCAAATACATTTTAATAATTACATCAAATATCACTACCATGGTATTAGCATGTCATTTAGTACTGTTACCATAGTGTTACTATAATTTTTGGCTTGTTTTTCTTTGAAAGTTATCTCGGTAACTGTGGTAGCTGTGGTTTATCAGTGGTAACTGTGGTACTATTATTCTTGATAACAGGTACTATCATTCTTGGTAACTATCTAGCATACAGTAAATCTCTTAGTCTTGCATTACACAGCAAACCTTCAAATCCTTAGTCTCTTGCGTTACACAGCAAACCTTCAAGTCTCTTTATGGATTACACTGAAACTCTAAATATATTTATAATACACAATTAAATGTATATGGTACATTTTTTTTATTTTTTTTTATTTTTTTATTTATCTTCGCTTCCAACCAGGCTGCAAGCAACCATTAATTAGTGTTGGAAGTTACTGGAAGAGAAAGAGTGAGTTGCCTAGTCATAAAAACAGAGACAAAAGCAAAACCCATGAATTGAGTCAAGAAGATCCAGCGTTCAACATTCTAAACTGGAAACAATGTATTAAAATTACATCTGAAACAGCCTAATAGATGAAGAAGGGGTGTGAGGCTGGTCAACAGATAGAATCTGTTTACCCCTTAAGTCTTTGCCTAGGAGGCCTTCTATAAGACAGCAGCCGGATGCATTTAACATCTGCCCAAGATGAGTATTTTTATCAAGACACCATCTCTAGCTTTTACTCAACCAAGAGCCCCAAGGCAGGAGGTGTTTTATGTCGGAGTTTGCATCTCCTAGCCTTTGCCTAAAAAGGCATATCCTACAAGGCGGCAGGACATGAAGCAGATTGTACTGGGTTACATGTTACCAGTAGCAGGATAAACCTGACCTGACATGGATATATTTTACATATATATCACATATATATTTTACCTCCAGAACTCTAAATGATAAACAGCTACCCTTTAACTTTGAAATTGATCTTTACTTATTTGTGTAGTTGTACTTTGTACTATAAAAAATTTATTTTCACAAGCAAAGTCTTTTCTTTGTACTCATCTTCCTTTGTACCCATTATTTCTTTTCCTATGGAAAGAATTTTTTTTTTTTTTTCAAAATAAAGTTAAAGTGTTTCAATAAATTTTTGGAATAGGTTCCTCATTTTGGAATTTCTGTTTGTTGTAGGTCAATTGGGATACTGAGCAAGAATGTTTTGAAACTTTTGCGCGAGAATGCAGTCTCTTTTATTCTTTTGGACAAGGTAGTTTTGATGAAAGAGAAGACAAAAGTAGTAGTACTCAAAATTGGAAGTGGGTTGTTGAACATGTTTTATATACTGCATTTCGAACATCTCTTTTACCCACGAAAAAGTTTTCTGAAGATGGAACTTTTCTCGAAGTTGCTAACTTACCAGATCTGTATAAAGTATTTGAAAGGTGTTAATGTTCAATAAAAGGTGTATTTGATCTTTTTTTGAAAAGATCATTGTTGTTTTACTTTATTTGGTTAAAACCTTTTTATTTTGGTTATTTTAGTATATATATATATATATATATATATATATATATATATATATATATATATATATATATATATATATATATATATATATATATATATATATATATATATATATATATATATATATATAGTATATATATATATATATATATATATATATATATATATATATATATATATATATATATATATATATATATATATATATATATATATATATATATATATATATATATATATAACATAATATATATATATAACATAATATATATATATAACATAATATATATATATAACATAATATATATATATAACATAATATATATATATAACATAATATATATATATAACATAATATGTATATATATATATCCTTACGAAATATTCCATGGAATTTCATGGGTATTCCGTGAACCATAGTTTTTTTTTGTCATAGCTCATGTTGCACCATAGGTTTTACAAATAGGTGTTTAAAGATGCTGTTGTAACTCATAGAGTTACAAAAAAATGCAAAAATTTTAAGTTGCAAAATAATTTTTTGCAACTTAAATATGTGGCTGCCATAGGTGGAACCATATGGGGCAATAGGGTGACCTCCCTCCCTTAGATATTTTTGAAATAATTTTTTTTGCAATTTTATATATTTAAGAAACATGTTGTTTGAAAAAGGAAGTAAATTAAGGAGGCTGCTTGGATTGTTGGGATATCGATGTATCGTAATTTCATAGTTACATAGGTTAAAACTGTGTAATACTAATATTCTAAAAAAAACTCAAAAGTTTTATGATTTAAACCAGAAAATTGCCTCCTCCCATGTACTACTTTATTAAAGTCTGGATCCACTGAATCTCAAAATCGCCCCCCTCTTCCTCCTTTCTTCCTGGATGGTATAGATCCATGGAATCAAAAAATAAAATAAAACTCGCCCTCCCCCTCCTTACCAGATGGTCTGGATCCGCCCCTGGTAGCTACAACTGTTAAACAAAAAAAGCATTGCAAGTTTACTTTTTGCCAGGGTTAGTTTGTTGTTAATTTCACAGTGTGAAGATCTTGCATCATTTTTTATATCGGTACATTTTGATTTTTGACCAGATCTAGTCGGGATGTCTTTTTTTTTTAGTCGGGATGTTTTTTTTTACTGTTAAATAGCTGAAGTATTAGAATATGTAAATAATGTAATGGTTTGTGTATAAATCCTTTTATTTTTACTTTATTATTATATTTAAATTAGTAGATTATAAGCAGACAGGTTTGACTTAAATGATGTTGTTCATCATTTGTATCATTTATAACATTGTCAGTTTTTATATGCATTCAATATTTTTAAAATTAGTTCAAAAGCTGTCTAATTATAATGGCGAATTGAGCATGAATTAACCGGAAAAGATATAAGCGTTATCTTTGGGATTCAACTTGTAATGATTTTCTAATAAGGAAAACTACGGAATCATTTTAAAAATATCAGAAAGGGAAGTTAATGCGCAAGATTTTACTTCACAGTTAAATGTAAGTATATAAAAGCAATGTTTATAAATAATGCACTATTATTATAATTATTTTTGTTTGTTTAAAATATAAAAAATTTGTAAAAATATAATACTTTTAATTTTATTTGTCAAAATATAATATATTTGAATTTAATAGTGCGTGCATAAGTCCTTTTATTTTAACTTTATTATTTTATTGCATTATGAGTAGGTTTTACTGGCGATAGAAATAATGTTTTACATCTTTCAGATAGTTCGGACGAATAAGTAAGTTTTTTTTAAATTACCATTTATAAGTAATAATATATTTGTTGCTGTATTTGTTCTATATAAATGTTACCAACATACAGGCAACATATATATGTGCATAAGTTTTTTTTCATTTGAACTTTATCATTTTATTTAAATTACTACATTATCAGCAGGCAGGTTTTACTGGCAATATAAATGATGTTGTACGCCATGCAGATAGCTCTGGCAAAGAAAAGGTAAGAATCTTATAATTATTATTTATAAATAATGATATATTCATTGCTACTTTTTTCTATATAAATGTTACCCAACGTTTGGCATCATTTATGTAAAACATATCAAAAATGTGTTGATGCCTAATTGCAAAGTTAATTATAATAGATAATAATTATAAGTATAAATAAATTAGTAACTAAAGAAAACTAATTATATATATATATATATATATATATATATATATATATATATATATATATATATATATATATATATATATATATATATATATATATATATATATATATATGTGTATATATATATATATATATATATATATGTGTATATATATATATATATATATATATATATATATATATATATATATATATATATATATATATATATATATATATATATATATATATATATATATATATATGAATATATTAGTTTTATAATGTATTGTCTAGATTTGTGAAATAGACTATGGTACTAACTGTGATGAAAACAATAAATGAATATCAAAATGTGACTGGTAATTTGTTTGACGATTATCTGGGGTTGTAATTACAGTTGATGGTGCAATCTTACTTATAAATGGCTTTGGACTAAATATGATGTATTGATTATTTTTAATAATTTGTTGAAGCTTCTTGTTGTTGTTGTTTAAGCTTGAAGTTATTAATTATCAATTTTATATATACTACTTTTATCAAATAGTATATATAAAATAATAAACATGTAAATTGTTATATTTTCAGTAAAAATAGTTTCTGTAAAAATTGTTATGCTCTTACACATGTAATGTATATGCAGGGGCGGATGCAGGATTTTTTGAAGTTTGAGATAACTAATTTCCAGACATGGAGCGAACTCAAAACTTTTATATGTTTATAGTTATATCAAATAAGGATACTTTGCATAAAATTGAGATGATAGGAGCCTGGGAACAAAAAAGCCCCAAAATTTTTGCTACACCTGCCCCAAACGTGAGAGCAACAAGTTGATAAAACAATTTTTTTACTATTCTCAACTAAATCTATATTCATCGAGAATTTTTAAAATTCATACAATAATCTCTTAACGTTCAAAAGTTATAGCCACATAAAGTTTGAATCCCCCTCAATTTGAGGGGGTTACAAATTTTATAAGACCATTATTATTGAACGCTAAAAGATTGTTTTACAAAATTAAAAATTTCTCGATGAATATAGATTTAGTTGAGAAAAGTAAAAAACTTATTTTATCAACTTGTTGCTCTCACGTTTGGGGCAGGTGTAGCAAAAATTTTGGGGCTTTTTTGTTCCCAGGCTCCTATCATCTCAATTTTTTGCAAAGTATCCATATTTGATATAACTATAAACATATAAAAGTTTTGAGTTCGCTCCATGTCTGGAAGTTAGTTATTTCAAACTTCAAAAAATCCTGTATCCGCCCCTGATATGAGTATACTCAACGATTGTTGATTATACTCTTTGTATAATCAACAATCGTTGATTATACAAAGAGTCTTTTTTTCAATGTTGAGTATACTTTTATACATGTTTAAATCTATTCCATGAAGGTTTAAATTTTGAACGAAACCTTCGTTCAAAATTTAAATCTTCATGAAATAAATTTAATTTAAAGGGGTGGGGGCCTAGAAATTTTTTTTTTTGCCGGCAAAAAACACCTACGTCATCTCTCCCCCACTCCCTTTGAGATCTCTTCGCGACGACCCTGAAGGTTTATTAAAAGACTTTTTTCTATCTATCCACGACAGTTAGCTTAACACTTCATTCTAAATTTAAACTTACACGAAATAGATTTAAATATGTAGAAAAGTATACTCAACATCAAGTGTTACTATTTTTAAAATCATCCTTCTATTCAATTTAAAATGATTTTAACAATTTACTTACATGTTTCGAAAAAAGTAACCCTAGAGTAACCCATGTACATTTATTTAGTTTTTTTTTGCTGAATTCTAGGTTAATTTAATTAGTATTGAGTCCTTATGTGTCTCGTACCGCCTTGAGTTACCAAAATCCCGAGATCGCTCCCTGTTTTAATTAGTTCAAAAGTTACGGGTTCACAGAAGTCCGTATGAGTTATTTCTCAATTTTGATACACATATATAAAATATTTCGAATTATATATGAATTAGGGTAAACTGATCAATATCTGGCCACTTAGTACTAATTATTCAAATATATGAATTTGAATCTCCTAATATAAAAAAAGTTAGTTTGAATATAATAATTATATATATATATATATATATATATATATATATATATATATATATATTATATATATATATATATAATATGTATGTTTAAATGGGCTGCAGCGAGGAAGGGGAGGGGTTAAAAGCAACACTCTCCCTCCCCAACAAAAATTTTTTTTTATATCAAGCCAAAACTTTTAGTTAAAGTTGTAAGTGATTTCCGTTTTATTTTTCACAAGTTTTTCATCGATATTTTTGAATAATAAGTAATAAAAATCACACGCGAAAATTCCTAAAATTTGTCATAAATTGGGTACCGTGACATGGGGTAAGATGTTACTTTGGCACAGTGGGCCAGGTGGTGGAATTAAAAGTATAAAAAAATATCCTCAAAAATGACATTGTTATATACCATTTTATAGCTTAAACATCCGGCTTTTATCAAATGTATATATTTCTGTATAACTAACATGCTGTTTGCATTTTAAGCTGTTAATAAAAAAAGTTTTTTTTTTCAATTTTTTTTTTTTTTTTTGCGTTGTTTTTTAATTTAATAATATTTTTTGTGTTAGTAGTAAGCATAAAATTGTTATTAATTATTAAAACTTCATTTTTTATTGAAAAATTAAATAAAACTAAGTATTATCTATCAAATGAGCTATTGCAAAATTATTTTGCACGTAAGCTAAATCAAATAAATTGATTTCTAATGATGGCGTATTTAAAGCACTTTTTTTAGTGAAAATTTAACTTAAATAATGAAATACTTTTGCGCTCTAAGGTGGCTAGAAATTTGAGACTTAAAATATCTTTCCCAATATGTACATTATCGATATATATTTTACCTATTGTCGGCGGGTGTCAGCTGCGTCTCTATTAATGATTTTTACAAGTTTCATCTTCGGAGCAGGGGACCCACATTCTGGCTTTTCTTTGTGTTCAAGGGCTTCAATCATCCCAATTAATAGCAAATCATATTTTTATCACATTAAAATAAACATATAAATATTTGGAGTTTGTTTTATCTCCAAATGTCTCATAAATAGTATATTTTTTGTATTTGTAGGCTGAAAATATTTTGATACCTATGCATTCATTATGCATAAGCCTAATAATCTACAAATATCTGACTCTGGTACTGTGGACAAACTTATTGATGCTATGAATTTGGATTGCAACAAGTAGCAATTAGGAACTATAATAACGCATCTACGAGATAAGTGGCGCAAGTCATATTGCAGCATGGCTCGATTTGAAAAAAAGAACAAAAAATGGCTGCAAAGCCATGTTCCTGAAAATCTAAATGTAACACCAATACCTATTGGAAGACCAAATAAGACAAACTTTGATGACTACTCTACTAAAACCAAAAAACATAAAGTTAGTCACTTAACTGAAATGTATTCTGCTTCTGCGTTACAATTTGCTTCAGAAATTAAACGGAGAAAAGAAAATGCAACTGAAAAACCTCAAAAAAAGATTGTAGAATGTCTAAAGATGAAGCTCTTTGTCTTCTTTTAGATGCTAGATTGATAAAAGCTTCCTACCAAATTATTCGAAATCAAGCAGTTAAAATAGGAGTTGATATCTATTCTCCATATAATGATGTTCGGGATGCAAAGCTGTTATGCTATTCTGCAGATATATCTGTCTCAGACTTTTCAGCTAAAATAAAACTGCAAGCTTTGGTCGATCATACTCAATTAGAATATGCAAGGCACAGTATGATGTCCTTAGCACTGAAGGCACTCCAAATAGACTTTCTCTGAGACACAAAATTGGCTTTAATGGTGCCACAGGACAGTCTATATATAAACAAATATCGCAAGAAACAGTAATAAGAAATTTAAACAATGACCAGGTACTTTTTATTACTTGCCTAGTGCCATTGGACTTGTGTGGTTTTTTAAATGGAAAACAGTACTCAGCTTGGTGAAATCCACGACCATCATCAACAATGTACAGTAGACCTATGCGTTTTAAATTTGAAAAAGGAACGGCAGCAGTTTCTAAATCAGAACAGGATCTTATTAGGGTTGAGATTTCAAACTTGCAAGATACTAAAGTTGATACAAATAATAACAAAAATCAAAATACATCATATAATACAAGTTACTATGATTGATGAAAAAGTTCCTACTGCTTTTTCAGATGTTACAAATTCAAGTCAATGCTGTACTATATGTGGGCCAAGTCCAAAAGCAATGAATGATATTGAAAAAATGGTTTTGAAAAAGGATATGGCAGGTAGTTATTCATTTGGTTTATCATCCTTAGATGCTTGGATACGACTTTTTGAATGTTTATAACATATTGGATATAAAATAACTTTGAAAAAGTGGCAGGCAAGAACAGCAGAAGATAAATCTAAAGTAAAGGTTCTGAAAAAACAAATTTAAAATAGATTTAAAGATGAAATGGGCTTGATAGTTGATGTTCCGAAATCTGGTGGTAGTGGAACATCAAATGATGGAAATACGGCTCGAAGAGCATTTCAAAATGTGGAAAAGTTTGAAGAAATATTAAATATTGATGTTGAACTGATTCTAAATTTGTATATTATATTGGCAACAATTTCATGTGGTTTAATTATTGACGCTGATAAATTTAAGGCTTTCTGTTTAAAAACAGCTCGACTTTATGTTCATCATTATCCTTGGTACTATATGCCACAATCTCTCCACAAAAAAATTTAATCCATGGTTCTGAAATTATCAAAAGTTTAGCATTTTGATAGATAATACCCATTGGTATGTATTCTGAAGAAGCTCAAGAAGAACATTTTGCAAGAAAATCATCTCGTGTGAAAACTAATCAAGATTTGTTAAATCGACTTCTGTGTACATCTGATTCATTTATTTCATCTCTGAGAAAGACAGCAGGAAGTCACACCAAAACGAAAAACTTATCAGCTGGAGTTATTGACTTATTGAGGTCATCCACAGATGATATTAGTTTATAAATGTATCTTTTGTATCTTTATAATTTTGGAAATGTCTGTAACTATATGAAAGTGTGACTGTAAGTTAAAACAATTAGTTATGCTCAATCCTATTAGAATCATCAAATTAATTTGCATACCAAGTTTAGAAACATTTGGCTAAAAATAACTCTTTGGAACTAAGCATAAATATGTGTTGCTATGCAAATGGGGTTGCCTTGGCAACCACACCAAAAAACAATGCTCATTTAAATTATAATCATCCAAATTATTTATATACCAATTTTTGAGGCCTATGGATGAAAGGAAAAAAAGTTATAACTTTTTTTCCTTTCCCAATTCCCTAATTATAGGATTCTGGCCCACTGTGTTTGGCCAGCTTGGTTACTTTGGTTATTTTTTAAAACTTTAATTTTTAAATAATTTAAACATCTGTAACTTTTAAACAGTAAAGTAACGTTTTACTATTTAAAATAGTAAACGGTATTTTTTAATTTAAAATGTTACAGTATTTATTCTTTCATGAAAAGCTACTATTCTAGTTTTCAATTTAATAATCAATCTAAAGATGCATTTAATTAATATTAAATCAATGTCAAAGTCAATGCATTTAATTAATATTAAAAGTATACGTACAATACGAATAAACAAAGATATGGTTCAAAATGTGGTATAAAAACAACACAAATATAGTGTCAACACGGTGTGGTTTGCAATGAATATTAGTTCCTTTATTTTAACTATCTGCACCTGATTTTTTTAGGAATTATTAAGCGATAATAGATGTTCAAAATATACTATAAATATAAATATAATGCGGACTTTGCGTTTTACATTTACCAAAATATGCATTTTTTCAAGTATTTTCATCTAGTTAAATATATGGAATATTTTATAAAAATAAAATAAAAATAATTATTTGAACTATTTTTAAAAATTTAGTTAGCAAGTACGATCGTATAAAGAAAAAAAAAATGTTTTTAAACATCTATTTATAGAAATAAAACAAAAATAGAGACACTAGTATTTTTGATAACATAAAAAAGGTGTTTTGGGAGCTTTAAAGTTGGTTTAAATAATTTTAACTGCAGCTGATTTTTTTTTTAATAATATATGCTTATTAGGATTTAATAAAATCATATCGATCAAGTCTATGCGGACCATGCATGCGGACATAAGTTTTAGGGGGGACTACCGAAAAAGCGCGAATTTCATAAGTGCGAATTGGCATATGTGCGAAGCGTTGCAACAACTAGCATAAGTGCGAATTGGCATAAGTGGGCCAAAACATTTTCCAAACATTGACATAAGTGCGAATTGGCATAAGTGCGAATCAGTTACAAAAACTAGCACAAGTGCGAACTGACATAAATGCGAATTGGCATAAGTGCACTAAACAAATTTGCAAACATTCGAATTGGCATAAGTGCGAACTGGCATTAGTGCGAAGCAGTTACAAAAACTGGCATAAGTGCAAACTGGCGTAACTGCGAATTGGCATAAGTGCGCCAAATAAATTTGCAAACATTGGCATAAGTGCGAACTGGCATAAATACGAATTGGCATAAGTGCGAAATACTAATTTGCACTTATGCCAATATTTGAAATTTTATTCGGCGCACTTATGCCAATTAGCAGTTATGCCAGTTCGCACTTAAGCCTATTTTTGTAACTGCTTCGCACTTATGCCAGTTCGCACTTATGCCAATTCGCATTTATGCCAATGTTTTCAAATTTGTTTGGCGCACTTATGCCAATCCGCACATATGCCTGTTTGCATTTGTGCCAGTTTTTGCAACTGCTTCGCACATATGCCAGTTCGCACTTATGCCAGTTTTTGCAACGCTTCGCTCTTATGACAGTTCGCACATATGCTAATTTGCGCTTATGTAACCTCCCGGTTATAGGAAGTTGAAATTGAAAAAAAAACTTTTATTTTATGCTAGTTTCAAACATAAATAACTTATGCAAATATACAATAATAAAAAATTATTATTATTTCAAATTAAACTTTATACTGTAAAATTTAAAAAATTTTTTTTTTACATATGTGTATATAGTTTTAAATTTAAACTCAAATGAAAAAATGTTGTATTTTTGCAAGAAATTATTCTTCGGTTTTTAATAGCTCTTGGATACGGTTATTGACTTTTCTTTTAAGAAAAAATATGAAACCTATATATTTTTGAATTACCTGGACAATGTTGTCTTTAAAAATAACAAAAATAACAAAAATAATTGATTTTTTTTTTTTTTTAATTTTGGCCAAAAATCAAGTTTTTCAGATCTAAATTTAGAAATAAAATCAATATATTACTAATAAACCTAAAAATTGTATTTTGGATAGATTAAAAATATAATTTTTTAAAATAAGTATTTATGATCAAAATTAAATAGAAGTTTGCTTAATCACTAAATATGTAGAAATAGAAAAGTCAACTTCTTTTTCAATTGATGTTTTTGATTGATTAATACGTAGTTCTATTTCACGATGATTATTTGATGCTTGCGGTAGATACTTGAGTTATTCCACACAATTCTTTATTCATAAAAGATGTATTAGATCGATGATCAAGAAGTGAGAACATTGAGTTGTTCTCACTTCTTGATGATTGACTTCTATGTGTAAAGAATTAACAATGTAAGCTTCAATGTAACAGCTTCAGCTGAACCTATATTTGGATCGTAAGGATAGATTCAACAGCCTCAAAAACCAAATTTAGTATTAATTGAGGTAAAAGATTTGCTCCAAGCTTGCTTCATCAATCTGCAAAAACTTACTCTTAAAACTAAAAAAGTCCTCTTGAGTGGGGCAAATATTGTTCTATCACTCAATCAGAAGGCTGAAACCAGTTAGAAGTGTGTGCGAGTTTTTCAAAACATTGAAAAGAAAAAAGGGGGCATGTCATTACAATTTAAGCAAGTTTGTAAATAAAAGCACACACATTGCTTTGCTTTCTAGAAAACTTTTAAGTTTTTGAAATAAGGTTTATTTTTTTATATTATTTAATATAAGCTTATTTATCCTTTTATTCCTCGAATAATTTTATATAACTAATGTTTCTATTCTAAATTTGATCAAACAGTTTTAGTTTTTTCGCTGTTAAAAGTATTAAAATATTTAACTGTTAAAAGTATTGGAAATTAAAAGATGATTTAAATAAGTGGGTACTAAATTCAAAGAAGTGGGTGCAACTTAAATGTTAATAACAATTAGGATCAGAAAAGTCAAATTGTCAGACCTAAAGTAAGTTGCTCTAGCTTGAAAGTCAATAGAAAAGCAAAGCACTTCTATTTGCCTTGTGTTTTTTTTAGATAAGTAATATTCATAAAAATATATTGATATTGTAACATTTATAAAAAAAGTAATAACCTAATTGAAAATTTTGAATATGAAAGGTTGTGGAGCTGATGACACTCTGCTTCAGTTTGGTAATATCACCCTTAAAATGTTTTGTAAAAAATGCGCATGAGTAAAGCAGTTATCTAATTGTTACTGCGAAATTGAATCATCACGATGATTACTATGCTGTTGTGCTATGAAAATACTTATAAGCAACTAGTCATTATTACGTTCTTCTTGGTATCTTTTTCATAAATGTTCAGCAAAATATAGAAAAGTTGCGTAAAAATCCCGTATTAATTTTGTTATCTTTAAATACCGACATGGATTCTTTTGATTGATGATAGATAGATTATCTCATGGACTGTTTTATAATAAAAAATGTGGTGACTAACTTGACTACAGATCATGTTGACTTTAAAATTTCAATAGACTGTGTATGCTAATGGGTTTTTTTTTCATTCAATAATTAATAAAGTTTGCTATAAGTCTTTTAGTAATATTTGTTCGTAATTTCCGAATTCATTTTTTGTAAAATTTACCAAAAAAATTTTGTTATCTTTAAATACCGACATGGATTCTTTTGATTGATGATAGATAGATTATCTCATGGACTGTTTTATAATAAAAAATGTGGTGACTAACTTGACTACAGATCATGTTGACTTTAAAATTTCAATAGACTGTGTATGCTAATGGGTTTTTTTTTCATTCAATAATTAATAAAGTTTGCTATAAGTCTTTTAGTAATATTTGTTCGTAATTTCCGAATTCATTTTTTGTAAAATTTACCAAAAAAATCCAAAACACTGGCTAATATATTTTTAAACATTTACTGTGTTTAAATTACGCTGATATCTAATAAAAACTTGCAATTTGATAATGTAACTTACTTAAAAAGTTAAATAGTAATAAAAAAAATTATTTAACTAAATGTAACTAATTAAACAACATTAACATGTTTTAATATATTATTTTGTTGATTAACTAATTAAACAACATTAACATGTATACATGTTAGCAACATTAACAGGTATAAATATTAAAACATATATATTTTAATATGTATACATGTTTTAATATATTACATTAGTCTATCGTTTAATTGCGCAAATTGAAACAGGCACTGCGGTGCGCAAATAACTAGGAGTGTGCAAATCAGAAAAAGATAAGAAAAAATTTAGCAAACTAAATTATTAACTATATCACTATTTTTAAGTTTAGCAATAATTTCGACTCGATCTTCTGATAACCTTTTTCCTTGGCCTTTAGCCATAAGAAGTAAGGATAAAAAAGTTGGAAAAAGAGAGATTTGTGAATAGACGGCTAAATTTAAAATTAAGTTTTTTTATTAAAGTTTTTTCAATGAGACTTGACTGATAAATCATTCTAACTTATTATTATCTGTTTAAAACAAGATTTATCATTTACTTCGATTCGAGTTCGAATCATTTATCTATTTACATTCTGATAAAATCATTATCTCAAAATATTTATGATAAAAAATGGTTTTTAACTTAACACAGGAAACGTTACGTTTTCTGATCTAGTTTCACTTTCACCAAAAAACTTAGTAAAAAATTGAAACTCAAATATTTTATATTGCCTAAATGTGCAATTAACTGGGATGCGCATCTAATTGGATGCGCAATTAAGCGAGAGACTACTGTATTTTGTTGATTAACTAATTAAACAACATTAACATATATGTTTTAATATATTATTTTGTTGATTAATTAATTTCATTTAGTTAGTTTAAATTTTTTTTTACATGTTAACTTTTATACTTAGTTACAAATATGTCAAGGGTGGGTTTGATTGGATTTTTAAATATAGAGCACAAATGTTGTGAAATATATAGAAGACACTTAGTATAATAAATGAGGAGACTTAGCAAAAAAAAAAAAAAAAAAAAAAAAAAAATATATATATATATATATATATATATATATATATATATATATATATATATATATATATATATATATATATATAACCTAATTATATAAGTGTTTGTTTAAATGAATAAAAATGTATATATTTATATATATATGAATACACTTTTTTATGATATAAAACACAGTTGCGTGTATAAATAGTCTTTTGAGAGAGAGTGAGCAAAAGCTTTATAAATATAAAGATTAATACGTTCATAAACAACATTCACTATTAAAAATTTATATTAAAAAATGGTTCAACATTTACCTTTGAATACTTTAAAATAATTTTAAATATAGATATTGTTAAAAAATCCACTTTTTGAAATGCGTAGCAACGGAGTGCCATGCTATATACGTTGAATAGTCACTTATTGTCATATTTCCAATATCTTTTTCACTCGCGCTTTCTAATATTTTATGTACAACTTTAGATGGAATCATATCTTTTTTAAATATAATTTTGTTTAGGTGCGCCATGAAAGTAAATTTTTGAAATTCGCAATCAGAATGCCAGCAATGAATGTGCGGGCTTTCCCATATTAGTTTTTTACTACACGAAGGAGTATCCAGCTCGTTTATATATTCTGATGAAAAGTCCGGTATTAAATGGTTTAGTGCAAGTTCAGCTCCGTATAGTAAAGAGACCGGACGCCACCATTTTGGCCATTCTCCTTCTCGATTTTGTGTAAAATTAACTGTTTCAAGGCCAGATGATTTTGGAGTAAACTCGTTTATAAACATATAGGCAGTTAGCTCTATTGTTTTTTTAGAAAGCAAAATAAATAAATCTCTTTCTCCGAACCATGTTGAACCTACACAATGAACTCCTCGATGAGTTAAACCTAGCTTTCCTGCAATATATCGTAGTCTAGCAATGTTAAATTCGGCGCAGTATCCCCCGTGTCCTGTAATAACACGTTTATTTGGTCGCCATAGCATTAAAGCAGGTGTTAAAAATACATCAAAATCTGTTCTAATTATGTATTTGTATGGCATTAAAATACTAAAAATATCGGTCCTATTAAACATCACAAATGAGTTTATTGGATTGTATGATATATCGATTTCAAAAGGTTGTTCAATTGCCCAGCATAGGTTGCTAATTTTTAGATTATCATTTACTTGATTATAGGGTTGGCACACAGTTTTAATATCAGGGCAAACTGACGGATGACAAAAGACAAGTAAATCTACTTCCATTAAGTTTGCCTCGTTGCGGGGATCTTTAAAAATATAACTTTTATGATCTTGAATGTACTTCCATGATCCAAACAGCAAAGCCAAAAAATAAAAAACTTGCGATTGACCTCGTGGTACATAACAAACTACAGCAATTCTGTCTTTCTGAAGTAAAAATATAGGAGAAGTATTTGTTTGAAGAGAAACTTTTGTGGGAAAATGACTCATTGTAATATTTTTTATAAACGATTCATACAGACTTCGCGCGTAGAGAGAGTAGCTTAATTCCGGCCATTCTAATAAAAATTTTATTGAAATTGAATATTAGAACTTTTCTTTATAAATTCAATTTTTTTTTAAGGGTACCTAAGCTTACCTTTAGTATGAAAACGCCAAATAACAATGCCAGTTAGCGAAAAGATAACCGTGGCCATCACAAGTTTTCGAGAGACCGACTGCCGCGTAACCATCAGGCTGTTGCGTATTTACGAAAATTACTAACCCTGTACAAATAAAGTAATACTTTAAGACTACTAGATTTAAGATATAAAAAATCACTAACGAATATATACGAAGTAAAATATAAACGTGTAAAAACATTTTACTATACAAATGTTGTCTTTAACAATAAGATAAAAAACAAAAGATAACAATTTGGTTATATCATAATTATATGATTACATTGTAAAAATATAATACGTTTTGTTCTTCAACAATTGCAATCAAAATTTTATCCAAGAATATGCTTAAAGTTTCAACTTGAACAGTAAATTATAGCATGGTTGGAACGAATGACATTTTCTGCATGTCTAGATCAAAGTGAGAAGTTGAGTATAAAAGTAATCTTTTGACTCATAAACTTTTGTGTTTATGTATTTATATGTTTATGTTATTATATTCTTATTAAGTATTAAGTTTATTTCAAACTAGAAGTAAATAAGCAAAAAGAATAGAAGAAAAGTTTTTTGTTTTTTACAGCGTCGTCAGTCGGCTATAAATTCATGTCGAACTAAACAGAATACTAAATTGAACACTTTTTATAAATTATTTCTTTTAAGTATATCTTAAAATTCCAAATTTTTTTCTAAATATACGTTTTGAAAAGTTTTTTTGATGATTATTAAAAAATTAAACTATTTTTTCTACTTTAAATCTCAAAACAAAGAAGTTTAAAATTAAAATAAAATGATTAAAAAATGAAAAAAATTAGAAATAGAAAAAAACTTTAAGCTTAATTTTGTTGTTTTGCAAAATTTACAGAATTAAAATTTCTACTTCATGAAAACAAATGTAAACCTTACAGACGCAAAAGTTAATAAATTGTTAATGTTTTTTTTTTAACATTCAGTTATATCTGAACCTTGTCATATTTTTCATGTTTCTTAGCCAAATCATCATATTCTCATAGAGAAATAGAGAAAATAAACGTCCTTCACCAATTCCATTCTTTAATGAAATAAATTTGGGTATTAAACATTTTTCGTGTTGGGATGGAGGCGGGGAGTGAGGGGGGGGGGAAGATTGCGCCAATATTTAACTTTGCACTAGGCGAAAATTTCTGTTACCACGTCTCTGTAACAAATTTTATAAAAGATATATACAAAATACAATAAAAAATCGTGTATGTTTTTTTGTGATAAACTAATGTAGAGATTGAATTAATAATAGATTTTTTAACGAGAACATTTCTCTCTCTTTATATATATATATATATATATATATATATATATATATATATATATATATATATATATATATATATATATATATACATATCGCTACGTTAGAATTATTTTGTTCTATCTCCACTTTCTGAAAAAATTGAGTTAATGATAGTGTTGTGTTCCTTAAAATAATGTCTTTCTACTGAATTGAAATCTAATTTATATGTAAAAAAGTTGCAGAAAAAACATGTTATAAAAAAAAAAATTATACTTCGTCTCCTAAAGTTTTTGTTTTTTAAATCGTTTTATCTCAAAACTAAAAAATGTGGAGATAGAACAAGATAATTCTAACGTCACAATATACAATCTCTACATTAGTTTATCAGACTGCATTAACTATTGTTAGAAAATGTTTGCAGACAACATTAAACTAATAGTATTAAAGGCTATTAAGACGAACTCAACAGGATAATTGATTGGTACAGTAATTGGCAAAACGAGACCTAACGACAACGACAACGCTGGTAAAAATAGACCTTGTAGTCATAATAAGTTGGGATCTTAAATTAAAAAAACAAGAAATAAAACTGCATCAACTGCAAACAAAATTTTCTGTGTTTTGAAAAATACATTTATATCCCGAGAGCCAACACTATGGAAGAAACTCTATAAAACATACGTCAGACTACATTTGGAATAAGCAGTATGCACTTAATCACCATCGTCAAAAAAATACAAAGTTCAGCGATGAGCACCAAATTTAGATACGCAATAAAACAACTTAGCTAGAAAGAAAGGCTAATCAAATTCAACCTAACTAGTCTAACTGTGCACCAACAAAGAAACAACCTCATACAAGTACTCAAAATATTAAAAGAAATTGAGCCAAAAGAGGAAAACTCAGTAAAGAATTAGTCCGCAACAGCGCACTGCGAAGCAATTTTTTTTACTAAAAGAAACATGAACTGTTGGAACTCTCTATCCGAAAAAACTGTGAACCCAGAAAAGTCACTGCATTCAAGAATCGGCTGATTAGTAATAATAATAAGAATACTCCTGAGCATATGAGAGTGATCAATATTGTTAAATAATATAGCTATTTATTTATATAAAACGAATAAAAAAACTTTTATGGAACTCTGAGTTTCATACATGTCGGCAATTATCAGACTTTGCGTATCGCAACATTGTGTAACATGTTAGCATCTTTTCTACAAAACGAATATTAGATTAAATTAGCGATGCGGAACTGATCCGACCCTTTTTTTAAATTAGATCTTATTTTTCACGCTATATCCAAAATCGTGTAAAAAAAAAACCCAGAAAAAGATCCAGAAAAAAGACCAACCCAAGAATTATTATTATCACAAGAGCCGCTATTTTACTGAGACCTATTTTAATAAATTTGCTGGAGAGCTGAGAAAATACTAAGCCTATTTGCGCATGCGCATTTGATACTTTTTTGTATTAGTCGGCCACGCCACTTGTCATTAAAATCTTTAACAGACTGGCATCGTTTTGCAATTGAAACGATATTATATTAGTATAATAGTCGATTTAATTATAACAAAATAAAAACAAGATATGGAGGTTTGTAGATACGTTGAGGAAATTTTTTTTAATAATAATGATATCTTCGTATTTTCTAGTTTTTACAAATAATGTTTTTCAAAAATATTAATTATTTGTGAGTTTAATAGCAAACACAAAATAATTGCAAATATTGTGTAACATTTTTTTTTAATTTTTGCAATTTATATTGATTTATTTGCAGCCATCTGACGTTCCCGATGCCAATGCGACCGTCCTGTAAGTTTTTTACATTTGTATTATTTGTTTTAATTAAATAATCTAAATAGTTATAGACATCATACTTTCTATATTATAAAAAGAGAAAGATATTGCCAAAAATATATAGATGAAAATGATAGCTTTTATATGTAGATATGCTTGTATGTAAATATATATGTATGCACACATATATAGAATATATATATATATATATATATATATATATATATATATATATATATATATATATATATATATATATATATATATATATATATATATATATATATATATGTATATATATATACGTACACAATACAAATATAAGAATTACTTTTGAAAAATTTATATATATATATATATATATATATATATATATATATATTATATATATATATATATATATATATATATATATATATATATATATACGTACACAATACAAATATAAGAATTACTTTTGAAAAATTTACCATTATTACTTTTTCTTACAAATGAATATACTGCTAAAACCTAAATCCTTAAATGTCCTTTAGATTTTACAAGTTTGACCTTGATAAAATGTTTTTTCAATACATTTGAATATACTACTGGGATTTAAGTCAGATTTTGGTTTCTTCTTTTATATATTGTATTTTCTTAATGCTTTACTTTTTGATATAAGTACTTCGTTATAATACATTGCACTTGTGCAATTATAAATCAATTGTAAAGTTTTAAAAATATACCATATAATGCTAATATTTTAAATATTTTTAAAATGAATTTTAAATGATTGTTTTAACCTGTTTTTATTAAGTGATATATTTATATGTATATATTTAGTTTATATATATAGTACATATGTAGACTAATTTTTGTTAGAATAGACTTAGCAGAGTGTATCATAAGTCCACTGAATTTTAAGTGGATTAACACAATTAGTGTTTACACATCAATAAAGGGTTCTGGTTGGAGGGAGAAGGAAGTTGAAAGTTATTTAAAATTGTGGTAGTCTTATTAGTATAATTATTTCAGCGGTAAGTCAAAATGGTGCCATTGCTTTGAAGAAGAAAAGCTTTGAAATGTAGTTTGTGACCTTAGAAAGCTGTAAACAACATTGATTACTTTCTTTAAAGTTGACTTGGTAAGTTTTAAAACTGTTTGAACTATCAAAAAGTAATCATAACAAAAATCATGTTCTCTGTAAAGTAGTGGTTTTTTGAATACATCAATACTATGTTTAAATATCAAAGTTTTAAACAATCTCTACAATGGATATAAAGTGCCTTTTTGTAAATCTGCCAAAAATGCTACCAATTCTAATCTAGACATTAATTCAGTTCTAATCTAGAAATTTATTTTCAGTTGCTCCAAAATACACAAAAAAAAATGTAACAAACTAATTCTAAATATTGTTTTTACAAACTTTTCTAAACCTCCATCATTTTGATTGCATGTAACGCCTTAAAAAAATATCATTTGATAGTTTTTTTAAAGTGGAAAGTGATTGGATATCTTTAAATTATGATTATTTAATTGCAGTATCTAATTAGAAATTTATGTTACTACAAAAACTGTTCCTTGAAAAATGATGTATATTTGGTTCTCACTCCATCTATACTATAACTCTTTGGTTATTTAATAATTATGTCTCAAATTTGATTTGAGCATAAAAATAAAATTATTTTGATGAAAATTTAACCAAACAATAGTATTAAAAATCAGAAAATTTTTGAGACTAAATAGTTTTTTTTTTTAAAAAAAAAGTTGAATAATTAAAACTATTTATATTTTCTTTCGGCAGAAGAAAAAAGCTTAATTAGTAGTGTACCTGTTCATTAACTTTAGATTGCACTATTAGACAAAAAGCAGTTGATGTCAATTGTTAACTACTAAAATGTTTTTTCTTATCTAAAATTTAAGTACATTTGTTTATAGATGGCTTGCAAATGTTTACATTTTCGTCTTCAAAAAAAAAAAGATGTGTGCACATATTTGTAGGCTGAAATAACAAATATTTGGAAAATATCCAGTAAAAACATTGCAATATTTGTATGTTCTGTTGGGAAATTTATTCACTGTTTTTTATTAACAAGAATTAAAATATTTCAACAAGTTCTTGTGTAGCTAGTTACTCAAAAAGATGTGAGAACTATTGTGGATTAAGAGTTTCTTTTGGAAAATCAATTTTTGAAAGTAGAAACTGGATTAAAGCTAATTGATTAGCTTAATCCATCTGATTTTGTAACTCCAATTTCTAGTTCGATCTAAAAAAGAGAAGAGAAAAGTATCTTATAAAGCTTTATATAAAAAATGACAATCATTCGACTAGCAATACTATCATCTACAATATAGATCTTGATAATTATACTGAGAAAATACATCATGACACCAAGCCACCTAGTAATAAGTCTACTATTTCTAAATATTATCAACACAATTTTTATATAGCAGAGTTTTAAACTTTTTCATTTTAATCAATGCAGCACCTAACTTGATTAAATTATTGAACTTAGAAAAATAAGCTTTACTTGAACAGAGTAAACATTTCATTCTAAAATCTAACATCAGACTAATTTTTTTCACACTTACAGAATGTTAATGTTCCTTTCAAAAGAGTTAAACTTTGTTCACTTGCAATAGTTGTTGTTGGAGGACCATCTTATTATTGTGCTTATAAAGGTGAAATGAAGTCCATCAAATAAAGATACTGCTTTTCTGACGTAGCCCTGCAATAGTGTATTATCTTAAAAATAATAATATCAATTTCTGCTAGGGTTGTCAATCTGAGTTTTGGACAAATTGTGGAGCAATAAAGAGTAATCTACGAAAATGTTTTTTTTTTAAATTTAATATATAAAACATAAAATACAGCTAAATACTAATTTTTGATATATCTATTATTTCAGTCTGATTAGCTCAGACCATCATCAGACATAAAATAAAATACCATATGAATCTCACAAAAAACGCATGTAAAAAACCGTTTAGAAGACATTACAAAGATCAGCTGACATAACATGAAAAACTGTTTTTAAATTTCTATGATTTTTTTAAAAAGAGGTCACTAACTACATAACTTATGCATATGTTTTTTTGTGAGATTCTTATTGTATTCTATTTTCGTCTATAGTGGCCTTCTCAGCCTTGAGGAGGTGAATTAAAATAAAAATAAAAAAAAAAATTTTAAGTCTAATGACGGTCTGAGTTAGTCAGACTGAAATATTACATAAATAAATTAAAAGTTACTACTTAGCTGTATTTTATGTTTTATATATTAAATAAATAAATTATCAAGTACTACAAAAAAAGTAAATTTAACTTTGATAGCAAATTTTTATTGAATAATGTTGATTAATGTAAATGTGCATATTCAGGTTAGCCAGCAAATTTTCATACAAAAGTTATCATACAAAATTTAACATACAAAACAACAGAAAATCTCTTTACTTTTACCTAAAAACATAAAAATGCTTTAAAATTACTCTCATTGACTTTTAAATAATACTGTTATAAAGAGACTTTAAAAATATATTTTTTGCAATCTTATTTTGATTGTCAATTCAAGTTATAGTTTATTATAGTCTTATAGTTAATTCAATAAAATATAAATAGTTTGCAACTATAGTTAATTCAAAATTATAGTTTGCAACTAAATCAATCTAAATTCCCTGAGTTTTACATTTATTTAATTACCTGGCTTATGAAGAATTTTCAAGTTGCTGGTCACCCTGAGTATTAAAAATAATGAAAGTAAATTGATAGAGAAGCATTATATTATTAATTACAGATTAAAAATCTAAATTCATTTTATATGAGGGTATTAGTTTAATTTGTCTATTGTCTGGTTTAAAAATCTTTTCATAACCATTTTGTACTGAACTCATTTTGCTTAAACACAAGTGTAAAGTTTTTAAAATTACTTAGTTTTTTTGCAATGCCATAATTTTTCTAGAACTAGGTCTTTATCATTTGCTGTTAATTTTCCTATTAATTTCTACTTCTTGTTACAGACACCTAATATTGGCAATATTAGGTGTCTCTAGCCACTGCACCTCCAGGGGCTATTTGAGACCGTATTTGGCGCTGATTTGCAGAAAAACATAAAATATATACATAAAAGTTTTTAATAGCAGTCAAAGTTTATATAAAAAAATAAAATCTTTAACTTTTACAATATATAACATAATGTAAGTAAATATTTATGTAAATTAGTTTTTTTTTTTTTTTTTATGTAACTAGTTACTTCAAATATTTTTCAAAAAGAAAACAAAATTTTATTTAAGGACATAATAGAAATGCATAAAAACACTTTCAAATGTATATATATTATGAACTTATGATTGTATACTTGTAAAGTTTTTATTTTATACTTGTAATGTTTCTGCCTCCAAGTATGCACGCACATGTTGTTTACAAAAAGATGTGACGTTGCTCGGAAAGTCATCTATAATAATGGGATTCCTGATAATTGTGCATTTATAAACTCAGACCTGATGGATAAATATTCACATCTAATCCAGAACAGTAAACAAGTCAAATTTCTGACCTAAATTCAATGATGTCATTCATTTTTCATTTCATTAGAATATTTTTTGCCAAACTTGGTCATTTTCACAAGGCATTTTGATTTCAAGATTCCACAGTTAAACTAATCTGTTTTTTAACATTCCTTCAAAATAAATTAAATTATATTCTTAAAATCGTATTTAATTTAAAGTTTTTTAAACTTAAAATTAAAAAGGATGAAAAATTTAAACTTTAAATTAAATAAGTTTAAATAAGTTTAATTCTGAGAAATTTTATTTTTTCTTAAATCAATTTGGAAATTTTCAATTATAAATAAATAATAATTTAATTTATATTAGTTAAATTTATTATTTTTATTATTATTATTAAAAAGTTAATTTATTTAGCGATTGCGGTGAAAATGTTACTTTTTTACAACTAACTTTTACAACTTTATGTTTTCTAAAGTAAAACTTTTACGATTTTATATTTTCTAAATAAATGCTGTTAAAACTATATCAAAAGATAATTTAAATATTTCAATTGATAAAAGTTTTGGCATAATGTAAATGGCTTCATGTTTAGGTAAAATCACAATTTCGCATGTAAAATGCATACTGCATAATGCTTCTTAACAAGGCCTGATATTTGTATTTTTATGAAATCTTTTTTTAATTTAAGTGTTTTTGTGATTAAAATAAACATTTTGTGATAAATGTTTTTCTAAAAGTATTGTAAATATTTTATAAAATATTTTGTTGGCAAATTACTCAGTTAGATGTACTGTTACTTTGTTGTTCAATAAATTAAAAAAAAAAAACTTAATAACAAATTAAAACTTATTGTGTAATGTATCTACAAAATATTTGATAAACTGTTTACAATATATTAAAAAAGACATTTATCACAAAATGTTTATTTTAATCACAGGTGTGGAGTCATGGATGTTTAACATTTAAAATAAATCCCAATTCTTATATTATAAAAACATATATCATAATTGGTTTAACGCTTATCTTCAATATTATAGGGTAGGTAATTTTTTAGTAAAATTTTTGTTTTATCATTAGAATTGATTTTGTTCAATTTATAATTTTTAACTTTAAAAAAAAATAATATAAACTTTGTTTAATGATTTTCATATCTGTCTGGTCTCAGTAGTGTGATTCATACAGTGTCGTATCCAGACATAATCCCATACTGTTTGACCAATATGGGCGCCTTAACTTAAAATTCCCTGAGTTGTAAATTCTATAACTATATTTCTGCAGCTTTTTTTTAAACGCCTTAAGATGCTTATCATGTATTTTAAGTAAACAAAATTTAAAAAAATTACTCTTTGAAAAACTTTTTTTGAAACTTATAATTTTTATGAATTTTTTCATAAATCTTCGAAAATATTTTTTACATAATGTTTGTAAACATCTAAATTAGCTTATTTTGAAAAAAAGGTAATTTTTTTTTTTTTTTTTTTTTTTTTTAATTTACCATAAGGTGTTTTTAAAAACGTCTGCAAAATTATAGTGGTAAACTTTATCAATCTTGCTTACTTATATGTTATTTATAAGTATGAAATTATATTTATGTAAATTTAAAGAATGATTTTTATATCATTTAAAGTAATATTGGATATTATCATTAGCATAGAGTTTATCGTTGTAATTTATTTTACTTTTAGTCAGCGTTAAAATTTTTTAAGTAATAACTATAACTAAAATTATCAAAACAATCTAAATCTAAATTCGTTATTTAAAAAAGATAATATTTTCTTTATTATTTATATTTTATAATTTATTTATACATAACATCATACTCTTTTGTTTGTTTTATCACAATTTCGTTTTTTTGTTTTGTTTTTTCATGTCTAATGAACTACTTTTGATAAAGATTGTAAACTTAATGAGTTACCTGTAAGATAAACATTGTAAACATAATTTGTGTTAATAAATAAAACTTATGTCATATGAACTTAATGCAAGTTTGAATTAAAAACAAAAGATTTTAATTTTAAAAAGTTAATTATAAATAAACAAAACATTTCTCCTTACTTACACAAAATGAAGTTTTAAATTGTTATGTTATGAATTAGTTTGTAAATGAAAAGGAATTGTTTCTTTAAAAAATGTTGCAAAACCATTTTATATTCCTTTTAAGTTAAATTTAGATTTTCAAATTTTTTATATTTATGTTTTTTAATTAAAAAAAAACAATATTTAAATATGTTGTTTTTTTTAATCAAAAAATTTAATTATTTTGCAAATGTGGTTAACATGTTTTTTACAATAATTTAATTTAAAAAAAGGCCACATATACAATATAAAAAACAGTTTAAATATTTCAACAGATGAAAGTTATTGCTTAACACCAGTTACTAAAGGTAAAATTTCCATTTTGTTCATAAAATGCGTTTTGTGTAACACTTCTTAACAAGGCCTGAATTCGAGTAGCATCATAAGATGTGTTTAACACATCTAAAATATGTATTTAGGGTTGTTCATAAATTATGTCACGCTAAAATTTAACATTTAAATGAACATAAACGAAAATTGACTCATTTGCTGTGATTTTCAATGATTATAAAGTTCATATGACATAAGTTTATTTATTATTACAATCATATTGATTATATAATGCTTTATAATCAATATGATTGTAAAGCATTATATAATGCTTTACAATCATGTTGATCATAAAGTGCTGGCGCAAGCAAGGTAATTATTTCCTACTTCTATTTATATTTTTAACTTAGAGTTACATAAGTTGAAAACAGCCCCTTGAGATGTTTAAAACATGTTATGTGACCACTGGGTAAAACAAATCGCTTTTAAAAATCCATCTACTAGATTTTTTTAAATACAATTAAAAAATAATAATAATAAAAGCAACAAATTTTTTTTGGAGTGTAGGAATTTTCATGATCAATACTGCCCAAACAATAGCTGGTTACGGCACTGTCATGTTTATTTTTTTTTTTTTTAATATTATTCTCTTTTTTAATTATAATCCTCTGTTTTTAGATATGTTGGAAATCTTGATAAACGAGTTACTGACACTATGATGATTAATATATTACGAACTGGTTTACCTCATATTAAGGAAAAAGTTCTTTCTGCTAGTATGTTTCCAGGGGATATGGTATGTTTACTTGTTTTTTATTTTTAAAATATTTGTTCAAGTAGTTAATACTTTTTTGATAGTCTGTTTAAACCTTAAATTTAAAAATTTTGTCAGTAATTGTTCTGTTAGTAATATATATATACATATAATACTAACAAATTAATATACTTATATATTAGTAATTAACTTACTAATATATAAGTATATTAATTTGTTAGTATTATATGTATATATATATATATAATAGGTTTTCACAGAAGGCATGTGCAGTCACGCTTTGCCTGATCACTCTTTTTTTTGGCAACTTGGTCACAGCTCTTAAAATGTTAAATTTTAATTTGCTTTTTAAAAATGCTCTAAAATAATCAAACTAAACAGAAAGTTATCGAAAAAATAGCCTAAACTGAAATGAAATAATATGAATAAAATGAAATAAAATAATAAAATGAAATGAGTAGCCTAAACTAAAATGAAAAAATAAATAAGATATAAACATGAAAAAATAAAACCATAAAAATAATATATTTTTTTAAATTCAAAAGTGTTTCATTTTATTTTTGTGAAAACAGTGAAAATTAAGTGTTAATTTTTTTTAGAACAACCCTGAAGGATATTGCTTTGTTCAGTTTGAAGATAATATTTCAGCAATGCAGTCAATGAATTTTCTTAATGGACGAGAATTTTGTGGCAAAGTAAGTTTTCATTTTCAAACTTTGAATTTTTTGTTTATTTAAATTTTTAATGAGTTGTTTTTAAACATAGAAAGTCAAAGTAAATTGGGCAACCAATTCACCAAATGGCATGCCTAAAGTTATAGGAAGTAAGTCAATTTTATTTATATTTTTTATGTTATTTTTATATACCTTTGATATTTTAATTAATTTTTTATAAAAAAGACTATTGTTTTTTAACATATATAAAATTTGTACACATGATAACTTAAAATTCAAAAAGTTTTTCTGGAAAAAAAATTAAAAATTAAAGGAAAAAAATTTTTTTTTTATATACTGAAGCCCTCATAAATATTTCAGTATGATTTCATCAATGAGGTTATATGGTAGACTAGGCATGCAAATTTATATACAACCCTCAAAATTAGGAAAAATGAGGTATGCAATAATTTGCCAACCTCAATCTTTTCTGCCAAAAAAATTGGTACATAGGTTTTACCATAAAACATAAAAATGAGGTTGGCATTGCTGAATGTCGGCCTTAATTCTGGGGGATATATATATACACACACACACACACTTACTAAAGCGCGTTTTGATAAGCATTTGCTCACTTTTTCTGCTTACTTTAAGCTATACCAATTTTTTCGAAAAAGAAGAAAAAAAAAAGAATGATGAATGAAACGATTGCTTCCCCATCCCAAACCTTCAGTCGATGTAGCAGCACTCCACTGCGAGTCAGGCTATTTGTCAGTCGATGTATGTACTGAAGCCCCCAGCAGCAGGCTATTTCAGTATGACGTCAGATTGCTTACCATAGTACGCAATACTATTTGTATACATATATATGTATATATATCATAGCTTCTCAGGAGATGCGTGCTTTTGCACGCCTTATATGACCACACATTAAATTTTTTTTTTGATAACTTAGCTACCATTTTTTTCAATAGTTTAAAGCTAATAATTTTTTCTATATCATTGCCACATTGATGTAGCTCATAAGTTGATTAAATGTGTTATTTCTTAGGCACGACTGTCTTTTGATAAGGCATTTGAATTTTTGATGAGACATTTAATGAGGGTTTTTTTTTTTTAATGTTTCATTTGCTTTGTAGAGATTTAAAAACTTGAAAATAAGTTTCAAGTTTTTAAATAATTTATTTTCAAAGTAATAAATCTTGAATAACTTTGTAACTTTTTTTAGTTTATTTTTCTTTTGTTTGTATTTCTCTTTACGATTTATAGTTTGTTTATTTTAATTTTAGTTAAAGTTAACATTTTGCATAGAAGGGTCTCCTGAGAAGGCTTGATATGTATATATACTCACACAAACAAATAGTTGAACAATATGTTAAATATGTTACTAAACATAATTATTGATAGAGTGATCTGTTAAGCCTTTGCAGTAAATTGTGTGTAATCTTTGTTAAAACAAAAATTGATCAAATATGTATTAAATTCTTTATCATGAAGTATTAGCATTATATGTGATTCAGGCTAAATAATTTATTTTAGCTAGTGTTTCAATATATTGTGGAAACCTGGATGATACTATTGATGAAGAAGATTTAAAAGCCGCATTTGAGGTGTTTGGAGAAATACTGTAAGTTTGATATTTTTTATTTATAATAAGTAAAATTAATTATGAGTCAGTAAACTATTCTTTAAGGGTTTTAGGGTAAAAATGATTGATTTTTTTTCTACCAAATCGTTGCATTTTTTTTTGTTTAAATTATTTTACTATTTTTTTGTTTCATGTTATTTTACTAAAGAATTCAACTTGCCTATTTGCTATTATGCTAAAACATTTCTTATATTTTATCATCATGAAGCGTTTTTTGTACTTTTAAAACGGTTTTGTTAAAAATTGTGTTTAAAAAGTTGCCTATTGTTTTTTAAGAGACATTTTACGATAGCCATTAACTTTTTAAGTTTGCCTATTTCAATGTCGAAAACATCTCAGATATGGAGTGTTTAACAGATATATAATATTGTTGTAGATGGCTTATCCCGCCAAACTAATGAAGACATGTGGCTAAAAGAAGAGAGTAAATCCTATATATTTGTTTTTTCTTTGTTCTTTTTCTTTTTTTCTTTTTTTGAAAAAAAATAAATCTTTGAACAAAGAAATCACGCATGATCCACTTGGATCATTGGTTCCAAACGATCAATCCATGCAAGAAAGTTATACGATGTCCCAAGTGACGTTGATAATTATAGTTTTTATTTTAGCTTAACTAATTTGTTTTTTAGATTTTTATGTTAAATTTTTCTTCTTTTAATTTTGTGTTTCAATGATGTTTAGAAATATCAAAGTTGTTAGAGATCCTGTGACAAATCACAGTAAAAATATTGCATTTATTTCATTCACCAATAAACCTGTAAGTAATTAATGTAACATGTACTTATCAACTATTGTTAAGTTGATTTTATTTTTTTTAAAGTATTTTCTTCTGGTTGATTATGGTTTTAAGGTAGAGTATTTTGTCACACCAATATTTGAATTTTGTGCAGGATGCTGAAAAAGCAATCAGGGAAATGCATGGAGCAATGTTGAAGACAAGAGCTATAAAAACAAATTGGGCAACACGCAACCAAAATCAAAAAAAGGGTATGTACACTTAGAAATTACTCATTAAAAATAGTAATTAAATCCACTTTATTTTTAAAATAATTATAAAACCTTATTATTATAAAACCTTACATTATCTTAACGGCTAATCTCAACTAATTACTGATGAACAAAAGTTTTATTAATTAAATAAAGCAAGGTTTTGTTAATCAAATCGGTTTTTTAAAAAATTATTTAAAGTTGTGTTTTATGCAGTATTCAAAAAATAACTTGAGTAATTATTTTAAATGAAATTCAGTGACAAAGATTTTGAAATTTATATTTAGACCAAAAAATTTATAAAAGTTTTGTTTCTTGCTGATTATTTCTTATGTTTCTCAGTTATAAGTTTTTGTGAAAAATAAAGTTTATTACTTGATTAAGGTCTTTTTTTTTACTTACGATATTTACAGATAAAAATTATCTTGTTTATATATATATATATATCTAACAATATATATATATATATATATATATATATATATATATATATATATATATATATATATATATATATATATATATATATATATATATATATATATATATATATATATATTGTTAGATATATATATATATATATATATATATATATATATATATTGTTAGATATATATATATATATATATATATATATATATATATATATATATATATATATACACATATACATATATATATATATATATATATATATATATATATATATATATATATATATATATATATATATATATATATATACATATACATATACATATACATATATATATAGATATATATATATATATATATATATATATATATATATATATATATATATATATATATATATATATATATATATTGTTAGATATATATATTATTTATTTCTTTGCTTCAAAAATATGTTTCATCATCGTAGTCTTTGGCTGATCTTTAAATATTTCAACAAAAAATATGAAATAGTTAAGACCCACAGGCGATAAATGCACATCTTTTAGTCAAATTTTTATAGTCAATTTAAGAATTGCGCATTTAAATAAAAAACAAACAAAATGCTCAAGTTGTTATGTTTTTTTTACTTACATTACTTTTGTGAATCCACAAAAAGTTAGGTGTTTTTTTTGTTAGCTTGAAGTTAGTTTGTCTTTTGAGCTTGTGTAAAACATTTCTAGCTTTTTCTTCAAAAAGTCAAAAGTGCCCTAGCAAGGTTTTCAAGTGAGACTCAAATCTTAAAAGTTCTTATTTAAACATAGCAGTGGAATTTATGATCTCGAAATCATTAGTTTTTTATTTTTATTACTAACTATATTTTTAAATAGTTCAAATTTAGCAAAAAAAAAAATTAATTTACTTTTTACCTTTCATTTATCAAAAGCGTCGTTAAATCAAAAAAAAAGTTGTAAAATGCTGTAAATATTCAATCAAATTTTTTTTATTTATAATTTTACAGTTTTCAGTATCTTGTAGGCCAATTTAAAAGATATTGGCAAATGCCCCATCCCCTTTAGGGATTGGGATGCAAATTATGTCAAGCCTTAAACAAAGCTTGCTATGGCAATGAATGTCAATATACTTAGCAAATAACAGGATAAAGCAGTTTAAAAAATTTTTGAAAACAAATTATTATAGTTGCTACTCAAAGTTATAACAAAAAACTCAACAAATGCTAAAAAAAGTGTTTTTCAAAGCGAGTTTTCCAAATATTTTATTATCTACTTTACAATATTTTACCATAAAATTGTTTATAACAACTGCCTAAATAAGACATAAAATTTTACTCATTAATTATAAAATAATCTTTTTTTGGAAATTTCCGGAAATTTTCCCAAAAAAATTTGAACCCTATGTATAATGAAATATACTTTTCGACTTATATAACTTTTTAGACATGTTTGGGTTCCTGTAAAAATCAACGGTTTTTTTTTCATAAAATATAATTACATAACATTTATTTAAAGAATTTAGATAAAGAAAAAAAAAAGTTTAAGTTCAAAGTTAAATAAAACATTAAAAAAACCTGGTTTTAAATGTCCTTTTTTTGGTTTAAATAGACAGTTAACAAAAAAAAAGTTCAGATGTTTTTGTTTTTAAGTTAGAAAAAAACAACATCTTTTTAGCTTGAAAACTTTAACTTAGTGCAGAAAAAATAAATAACTGCTAAAATGATTTAGTTTATGTTAACTGATTTTTAATAACCCATTTCTTTGTGATTCTACAAAAATTGCTTTTTTAAAGCGGTTTAATTATGTTGATTTTTTAAACTTTTGTTTTTCAAACAAGACAGCTACCAATGTGTAAAAGTATAAAGGTGGACAATTTTTTTGTTTAAATGTTTTTCATGTGAAGTCCTGAAAATCAGACAAGTGAAGTCCTGAAAATCAGACATTTATTGTTTTTATTTAAGACAAAAGCTTTATTGTAAATAAAAACAATAAATTATCTTGTAGTTTCATTTTATAGCCTTACTCAAAAAATTTAAATCTATTTAAAATCAAGTTTTTCCAGAGTTTAATTATTTAAAAAAAAGTATTCGTTGTAAGAATTAAATTAAATGTATTACTAAAGTAAGTTAATACTAAAATTTTATTTTATTTACAAAAGTAACTGTCATTAAAAATGTTTCAAGCAGGATTTTTTAAACATGTTTTTTTTCCTGACTTTCCTAATTTTGCATGTTAAAAGTTAGAAAAAAATATATAGATGAGGTACTAAATACGTGGTGCATCTTTCTTGTGAACTTTTTCTTAAACCTTTACCTTTACTTTAAAAATACAGTTTTTTTGTTTGTTGTTAAACTGTTCTTTTATCTGTAAAACTTTAACAAATATTAATTGTATTATAATCTATTATATTATTATTGATAATAAATATTATGTTATAAATACATATAAATATAATAGTATATATAAGATATATATATATATCTTCTATACTTAAACAATATTCAAAATGTATAAATATTAAATAAATATAAGTTTAAAGCCCCTTCTTCCACTGTTGTTAAAAAGCAGTTTAAAACTTTTGATTTTTCAAAATTCTATCAAGTTTTCAATTTATAATTTAAATTTTCTATTCACATTTAAACAAACATTTTGAAAATAGTAAATGTTCTATCTGTTAGCAGTATTGACTTTATAACTTTTCATTCATTGTGTGTACAAAATAGAAAACTGCTTTCTAATTTCAACTGAATGCACGATTTAATTATTTATCAAGTGAATTATTTTTTATATACTTGATTATATACTTAATAAATATATAATATACTTATAATATAATTATATTAATATGATATATATTAATGTGAATATATCTATATATGTGTATGTATACATATATATATATATATATATATATATATATATATATATATATATATATATATATATATATATATATATATACACACACACACACACACACACACACACACACACACACACACACACACACACACACACACACACACACACACACTCATACAAATATATTATATAGATAACTTTTATACTGACTTATATTTGTAGAAATGTTGCATCAGTAAAAACCCAAATTTTTTCTTTTGTCTTTTGTGAGCACACTTCCCAAAATTTAAATAAAAACATATAACAAAGCATAATAATCTCTGAAGAGATTTATATTTTGTTCAACTTAACGAATTAAGCAAAGCTCTCCATTTGTCAGAATTGTCGTAAATGTCTGACTTATAGAGGTTCAGAGACTAAACATTATGAATTTATCAGTTATAGTTCTAATTTTGAGTTTCATTTAGCTTCAGCTTCTTTAATAAATAGACTTTAATATAAGCTCAACAGATTAGAAGGTATCAGTGAAAATATTTAGTTTGTTAACTAAAATATTAGGTCAAAAAAAAAAAAATGCTTTTTTTTTAGACCTAACATTTTCTGTATAATTGTAAATTACATAATTGGTATTAAAAAATAATTTAGATATTCTGAAATAAAAATGTTTTTGCTTACCATAAAATTGCTGAATGCGTAGGCAAATTACTATTTTATATTTGTATGATCAATTATAATAAACTAAAATTATAGAAGGGATGTCTGATTGTCTATATTGTAATTATTTCTTAGCTCTGGCTATCAACCCCTGCTAAATCTTATAATTTTACATATAGGTTTGAACAATTCATATACTAAGGGACTACCAAGTCCCGAGACATGTTGTGTTCATTTTAAAGAGAATGTTAAAAAAAAACGTCTGAGCAAATTTTTTTTGATTAAAACTAATTAATAAATGTATACCAAGAAAAACAAATCTTGTTGTTTTAGACGAAGCTCGTCTACTCCGTTTTCTGTAGTATTTTGAGTATGTAAAATAAACGCGATTTTCCATGCGCATTATACAGACTTGTTAATTTATTCAAGCGCGTTTAATTCATAGGAGTTTTAGTGTATGACGTCATTTGAAACATTCTAGAAATTCTTTAAAAATTTTACTATTAAGTTTTACTAAAATAGTTAACTATAGTTACTTATTTTATTAAAAGTTTATTTTATTAATTGTTCGTTAGTTTTTTACAAATCTAACGAACAATTAATTAAACCAAGCACTAAGAAAAGATATAAAAATTAAGAATATACTAATAAAATATATAATTTGTAATTAACTTTCAAAATTTTGACAACTTAAAAAATATATATTATAAAACATTTATTTTTGTAAACAAATGATAATAGTTTAAAAGATTTATGGCTTTACAGATGTGACTCCGAGAATGAGCCATAATATTAAAGTAATAGTTCATTATGATACTATATTATAAAAATTTATGCTAGATATTTCAATATACTATAATAGTTCATTATGATACTATATTATATAAATTTATGCTAGATATCTCAAAACGCTACAAATCAATCGCAAATAATACAATTTCTAAAACATTTCAACAGAATACTCTAGAACTTTATTTCCCTTAGTCAGCGTGTTTTTTGAACTAATAGAATTAGTTTGTTCGCAAATTTGGCGGGTTTTTAGTGTGAATATTCTTTTTATTCTTCCGCAAGATGTTTTAAGAATGTTCAAGTTAATTATGTTTCCATGTATGTCTGTAAAATAAAAATTAATATGTATTAATTTTTTAATTTTTAAGCCCCCGCCTTAATATAAATTGGATGTTATAATAATGGAAATATAAATAATGAAATAAGATCACCTCAATACCAAAAAATACATTTTTGAAAATCAGTGAAAAAATGCGTTAATAATTTTTTTTTTAATATTTACAAAATAAATTAATAAAAGTGCATTATTATTGAGGTTAAAATTTATTTTATCTAATATTTTGAAAGAAAAACTTATAACAAAAGAAATCAAAATACACGTGGTCTAGAAAGTTATTTAAAAAAAGTTGCGCAAATAAAATAATATTATGTTTTTAATTTTTATTTAATTTTAATTTTATTTTGTTTTTAATTTTGTTTTACGAACACATTTTAGAACTTTAAAATATAATAAAAATGAACATGATTTGGAAATTGTATGTAAAAAATAATAATCTGTGTTTTAAACAAACAAACAAAAAAAGTCTATGACATCATGCACTAAAACTCCTATTAGTTAAACGCGCTTGAATAAATTATCAAGTCTGTATAATGCGCCTGGAAAATCGCGTTTATTTTACATACTCTTTTTTATTTTAATAAGAATATTTTACTTTTGTATTTTAACACCACAGAAAACAGAGAAGACAAGCTTCGACTAAAAATACAAGATTTATTTTTCTTGGTGTACATTTATTAATTAGTTTTAATCAAAAAAAAATTTGCTCAGGCGTTTTTTTTTTAACATTCTCTTTAATATGAACACAACATGTCTCAGGACTTGGTAGTCCCTTTAAAATCTAGTATCTAACCTTACTCTAGTTTGAGTACTTGCAATATATTTTGACAAATTTGAACACATAAAACAGTTTTCCTGAAAAAATTATTTATAATGGTTAGTTATAACAATTTTATGGTTAACATAGCAACATAGCATTATTTTTGATATAAATTTGATTTATAGAGAGGTGCATGTGCTGGTACAGTTATCTTTTTTGGCCCCTTTTTTCTCCTCTTTCCGTCGTATTAATGATGCAATGAAAATTGTATTTAATATCTTTTAAAATACACTTTAAATTAAGTTATCAAAAAATAGCACAAACAAGTTTATTAAAGATCTATAAATATTGCTAAAACAAGGTTGCTTTGCGTGCCTTTTTCTTTGCTAAGGTATGGAAAAATATATCAAAGTCTATATGTTTTTCAATATCAGGCTCAATATTTAATCTAGGAAATTCTTTGTTTTGCGATATCAGAATAAATATAGATATTTAACCTAGCAAGGTCTTTAAGGCAATCCAGGCGCATGGTGTACCTTTGTTTTTTATAAGTTTAAGCTTCAAAAGCTTCTTTCTGCTGATGCTACTTATGCTGTTGCTGTAAGAATACTTGAACCAACACTGATGTTTTGTAATATACTTTCTAGTTTGCACTTATAACATTAGTTTACCTAAACATGGGGTTTTTAATTTTTTTTTTTTTTTAAATTCAACCACCTTCAGATTAAAAATATTTGTATAAATTCAGGTTTGTTTATGTTATAATTTTTAAATGTTGAATCTTCATTCAATAATTTAGAAGAACAAGATTATGATGAAGTTTACAAAGGTGCCAGTGCTGATAATACAACTGTTTACGCAGGCGGAATTCCAAGCAACTGTACAGGTTAGTTTTATTTTTATATACAGGATTGTTACAATTATTACAAATTTTCCTTAAAAATATTTTTTTATATCTATAACCTTATTTCAAGACTTGTTTTTATTAGTTTTCTTATTAAAGTTAGTTTATGAAAAACATTGTATGGCAAAAAAAATTTAAACTTTAAGTGTGCAAAAATTATTTTATTATTTGGGGCAGTGTGCATCAAAATGCACTAAAAATCAATTTTGAGGGTATATATCCAAGGTAATTTTGGTCCTTTTGTATTTGATTATGTTATTTTGGTTGTCAATATAATTTCAAATAAAATAAAATTTGATGAATAAGAGTCAATAAATAATTAGAAAAATTAAAACTTTTTTTTAATACACAAATTTGATAACAGCGATCACTAGTTCAATTCTAATTTCTCTAAAATTCTTATTACTTACTACAAAAAGACTCATTATGCTAAAGAACTTTAAGGAAGAGAGCAACCAATTATTTAATATTAGTTTTTTTTATTAGTTTGCAAAGTTTTAACAAACATCAGTTAAAGCCAAATGTTATATTTAACTGTTTAACATTCGTGAAAAAACTTCAGAGGTGGATCTAAACCCCGTCAAGTGCTACAACTGGCAGAGTGAAAAAAAATATATAAGTATTATAAATATGACGTCTACCGCCTGCCTAATATTTGATCTTTTTATTTTTTGTTAGAAAATAAGATTTGGAAAAAGTTTACAGTGAAAAATTATTTAACAAAACTTCCTAATGTGAATTATACTTTGCAGGGACTGAGAAAAATGACAGTTTTTAATTGGTTATTAATTTTAATTTAATCCTCACTACTAAAAGTAGCAATCTGATTCGTTTAAAAATAGAATCTGCAGTGTAAACTGTATTTTGCAGCATCTGCAGCAGTTATTTGATTGGTTGCAAATATATGTCGTTGTTGCCAGGATTTAACTAGAGTATTCTTAAAACGTTGCATTGTTAAATCATGATAAGTTGAGAACTTTAAAATTCAAAAAGTTTTTATTGCTTTTTAGTTTGTTTTTGTTTTTATTTTTTTTAGTGCTTTTTGAATTTTAAGATCAAAGCATGGCTTAAAATTTGATTGAAAATGTTCTGAAAAGATTTACAATTGTTTTGTTAATTAGCAAAGCGTAACCTTTGTTTCTTTATATATATATATATATATATATATATATATATATATATATATATATATATATATATATATATATATATATATATATATATATATATATATATATTTTCTGAAAACTGACCAAAATTAATTGAGTCAAGCTATGTTCTTATCTAGTTATTAGTTATTACCATATTTAAGCAGTTACAATAAAAACAACCTTATACAATTAGTGAATCATGTTTACATTAAGGCAAGTAAATCTAAGATATATATTTCTCTCTACAACTGCAAAAATTGTTACTTACGCTCTCTCCCTTCTCCCTCCGCCGCGCCCCCCCCTTCCCTCTCTGGAATATGGCGCTTTTTTTTGACAAAGTGAACTTAAAACATGTGTCTGCCCCTGAACTTTCTAATACTACTTGCAACAAAAGTACTTTTTAATGATATTTTAGAGAAAGTTGAGGAGACTTTTTAGTTCATTTAACATAAAATGCACTTTTTGGCTATGGGCATATATGTAAAAATAGTTAAACAAAATATGTGTAATGAAATAATTTGACATAACTATTATTAAACACATGTTTTTTCTCTTGAGATGTTAGATTTTATTATAACAGTTTTCATGCTGAAAATTACAAAATAGTAATTAATTAAAATCAAAATTAGAGTAAAATTTACTATATTATATATTTATTACATAACAAAAACCATTTTATTTTTGTATTGCATAATTTTAATTATGAAGGTATTAGTAATAAACTTTATACTTAAGATTTTAAAGGGATTTTAAGCTTGTTTTGGACTCACTGGTATGTATAATAAACTCTCAAAAGTGTTTTTGTAGGATGTTTCATTGATAGAATTCAAATTGGCAAACTAACTAATGATGTTTATTGATGATGTTGAACCTTTAGAGTGCATAGTTTAATTTATTATAATTGTTTATAATATTTTCTAAGTTTATGAAGTTAAAGAAAGTGTTTCTTTTTTAATGTATATTTTTGGCTTTTACTAGAAGTCTGTAGACATGCACACAAACAAGAGCATTCATCTCTGTATTATGGTTAAAACAGTACTAAATTTTTATCTACTCACCTTTTTGAAATGCAGAAAAGTAAATAAATAATAATAGTAATAAAAAAAATTAATAAATAGCTTTCATATATAGATGTTATTTGTCTGAAACCAAACTCTTTAGTCAATGTATGTACTATTGCTATGGTACTATTGCTATGGTATAGTATATAATAACATTTTAAACTATTGCTATGGTATAGTATATAATAACATTATGGTATATGGTATATAATAACATTAACACTAATTTACAACTCATTTGCAACTTTAATATACTTGTTATTTTTGTTTTTTTATATTCAATTATTTTGACTTTTATAACTATAGAAGAACAGATTCGAAGTCACTTTGATGATTATGGCAAAATAGTTGATGTTCGAATTTTTGCTGCAAAAAATTATGCTTTTATAAAGTAAGTGTATTTATAAGATTATAAGCTTTTATTTAAATTTTTCATTTTACTTTTTATTATTTTCATTGTTAAGGTATTAATGTTTTTTTGTTCATTGCTAAGATATACAAGTTATTTTTATTGCTATGGGTTACAAGTTGTTGTTTGTGCATAAGCATAATATGATATGATATTTAAAAAAATTATTTTTGTATTTTTATTGTTATCACGGAAATTATTTTTTTAAAGCTACCACAGTTCACTATAAATTTATTAAACAAATTTTTAAAATTTATTAAACAAATTTTTAAAATTTATTAAACAAATTTATAAAATTTATTTAATGAATTGCTTGATAATGTTTTGTAGACTTTTGTAGACAATTGCTTGATAATGTTTTGTATTAAGTAAAAAATCTAGTTATCAAGTTTAAATTTAAATATTTATGTGTTACATAAAGTTTTGAGTTTAACCAAAATATCTAAGGCAATAAAAACTCACATTTTCATGTATAGTTTTTTAGGCCATGAAAATATGAGTTAAAATGCTTAAAATGTAATGCTTTGAAATGAGGTCTGTATAAAATATCATGTGCATTTCACATTGCTTGTATCTATATTATATCATATGAATTTCAATTATGGATAACTGAAATTCACATATTTGTTTACATAGTGTAATGATAATTATTTATAGGGTGTATAACTTTTTATGCTAAGGTCAAATGTTTTCTTGGTCAGGTATTAGGCATTTTTGTTCAAAACTTGACAGTAGTGATCGTTCAATTTTTTTTTTTTAAATTTTGATGCGTTAGTTTTTTTTATCAAATAATCTGGTTTTATTTAAAATCTTTCAAATTCTCTTAAAGAATTTCTCTTAGAGATTCTTAACAATGACTTTTAGCTTTAACAGTTTAGCTTTAACAGTTTTAACTTTTTTAGATTTCTAATAATTAATTTTAACACTAATTTATACTTAAAACAAATAATTCTGGCAGATAAAAAAATTTGTTTTTGGTGTTGATGGTTTCAGTCTGATTTATATCTTTTTATCTATCTTAATTAAAAATAAATTAATCTTTTTTTAATGTTTTTAGTTAAAAATCTCAAAAAAAAATTTAAAATTAAAAAAATGAAGTCCTTGTACAAATTTAAACATGTTTAGAAAAATTTTTTAACATTTTTTAAAAGTAGCATATATGGGTCTCAACTTTTAACATTTCTTAAAATTAGCATATGGATGTTGAAATGTAACTTAAGCAAGTAGATTAATATGTCCCAAAGTTGGTTATTTCTGGCTTCAACATTTTTGTAAGTTCAAATTAAAATATAATTAAATTGTTTAAAATAATTTATATTATAACAATTCAATTCCAAACAAAATATTTTCTTAGTTGATATTTGTTACAAAATTTTTAGTGGTTTTCTTTTCTTTTATATCACAATTCATAAAACTTAGCTGAACAATTTATCAATTGAGCATAAGTATTCTTTATGAGCACTATGCGGACGAGGTTCTTATTTGTCTTGTGCACTTACCTCGCAACGGCGACGTTTTTTTGTCAAGTTTGAATCAATAAACGTCTAAAAAAATTTTTCTAATTTTTTTATTTCTGATTCACTCTCAACAAGGCTGCAAGCAACCACTATGAAGTTAAGAGTTACTAAAAAAAAAAGCATAGAATTATAGAACAATAAAACGGTTGACAGAAAACTTAAAAAGTTGTTGGTTGTATGAGTCAGGTTGTATGAGTCAAACATTAAGAGTTCCAAAGAGTTGAAGTCCAACTATGTTACAATCTGTTTTATGACCTAGAAGAGAAAGAGAATCATTTGAAAAACCAGCCCAAATATGACAACAGTATTCCATACAGGGACGAATAAGAAATTTGTTGAGGTAGAGAAGGGAATTAGTAAAAAGTAAAAAAACGAGCACAGTAAAGAGAAGCAACTTTAGCAGATGCTAATTTAGCAATCGATTGTATATATGGCTTTCATGAAAGGTCATTAGTAAAAGATAATCCAAGAAAATGTAAAGAAGAGGACTCAGTAAGAGGGTTGCATTCATTAATATAGGAGTGTCGACAGTACTGCAATAGTTTACAAGTCACTGCAAGCCCCAATCTGTTTCAAAAGTGAGATCAGATTCAAGTTCGGCTGCCTGTTCTAAGCGATCGAAAAGACTTTTTGTCAAGACAGGAGTATAAAGTTGAGCCCTAACTTCTCCGCTTCCATCTATTGCATGATAAAATTTATCAGTCACAGCAGTTAGCAAATCAGTTGTAGTGTGAGAGGATCGAAAACTGTATTGATTGTCTGACTGTAAGATGGAATGTGAGAAATTAGTTTATTAAAGACTCAAAAATCTTAGTAATAACGGAAAGAAGACTGATGGGATGATTATTGGTGGGGTCAGAATGTTTACCAGAGTTTTTAAAAATTGGAACAACAGATGCCATTTTCCAGCAGGCATGAAAACAAGACTCGTATTTATTAAATAGTTTAGACAGAATTGAAGAGAGTTCTGGAGAATAATTTTCTAAGACTATGACAGGAATGTTGTCTGGACCACAAGCGGCAGAAGAGTTTAATCGAGATGCAACTGAATCTGGAGTGATTTGAATGCTAACAATGGGTTAACCTGTTTAATTGGAATGGAAGGAAGAGAATGGCCATAAGATTTAAGAGTCGAGTTAAACGAAAATTTATTTGCAAGTAGTTCTGCTTTCTCCTTAGGAGAGGTGATAGAATCAGTTCCATGAATGAGAGTTGGAATTAGTTAGACCTTCCTTTATTAACAACACAGTTTACAATTTTCTAAAAGTTTCTAGAGCCTAACTTCTGAGATAAGATATGAGATTTAGTGAACTGAGAATAATGGAGCTTAGCATCTGACAGCAACTTTTTACATCGATTTCTTGCAATAATAAATAGCTGTTTGTTCTCAAGAGAGATCTTATTTTGAAAAAGATGAAAAAAATGATTACGATTAGATATAGCAGCTGCACAAGAGGGTGAAAACCATGAAGTAGAACAAGGCTTGAAACTGACGAGAAGAAATAAAAGCTTCCATTCCTGCCTGAATCCAGGAGGTCATTTATCAGCTGAGTGGAAAAAGACATTAGCCCAAGGACCGTCACAAAGAAAATCACGAAGTGTCCTAGTCAGCTTTAGGGTAGTAGTAAGTAGTGTGATAGAAGGGTGTAGATAGTAGAAAGTAGATGTAAGTAGGGTGGGTTCGAAAATGAAGTATGATATAAAAGATTTAAATAGACTATTGCATGGTCAGAACTACCTAAAGAAGAAAAAAAAAAATTGAATACAAGGTAGGATCAGAGATCGACATAAATCAAGGATTAAAGGTAAATTGTCAGGGTTGTCAGGAAATCGAGTCACAATGTTAACTTTCTGAGTAAGAAATCAAGAAATGCAGAAGTTATAGGCTATAGTGCCAGCAGGGTCAGTGGCATTAAAGCCAAGCCAGTGTGATGAGCATTAAAGTCACCAATAACAACAATATTGGCAGAGAGGTCAATTTGATAAGAAATTATATCTGAAAGAATGCAGTCTTGGGATGAAGGAAAACAATAAAGAACAAAAAGATAGGTATTATAGTGAAGAGGTGCTAAGCGGAAGCACATATTGGATTGGTCAAATGATTGGAACCTGATTTCATAACAAATAGGTAAATTGACGTGTATGTATACCCCTAAGCCAAGTATTTGAATTTTGGAGTCTTTGCGAATCAAAGGATGTTCGCATCAACACTGAGATCTGAAAAAGAAATAGCAGAATTTAAATTAGTGTCACTAAAAGCAAGCGAGTCTGGTGAATTTTGCGAGATGTAAAATTCAACCGATGGAAGGTTGCTTTGCAGACCACAAATATTAGTAAAAGGTACATTAAAACAGTAATGTGGTGGGGATGGTTTTTAATGTTTAATATTTTGATGACTTTGGCATATTTAAGTTTAAAGAGATGTTGACTCATTTATAGATTGAGTATGGCCTCCAAAGCAATGAGCTATGCAATTTTCTCAGTCCTGTTAATTAACTTCGTAATTAAAGTCGTAACATAGGTCTCTTTATGTGGCTTCAACAATGCGCACCATAAGCATTAACAGGGACGTCATCCATGCGCAACATGATACTGTTAATACTCATATTTTGCAACTATTGATGGAATCAGTCTCTCTGAGAGCTACCAGAGTTTAGGAAACTTTATTACCAGCCAGCCTCAAAACCATTAAACTGAGTTTTAAAGCTGTACCCTCATTAGGAGAGAGCAGGAAGAGTTGCATGGCCGCTATCAATGAGGTGCAAGCAAAAACCTATGAGTAAAGTCAGTGAGATCCAGCATTTATCATCCTAATCAGGGAACAATGTAGCACAGGTTTATATCTACGCCTGCCTAATAGAAAAAGAAGGGGTTCGATTCATCAGAATTATTCTGCTTATCCCTAAAGTCTTTGTCTAGTAGGCTTCCTACAAGACAATAGTTGGATGCAGATAATCTGCCCAAGATGAGTATTTTTATTGAGACTTTATCTCTAGCCTTTACTCATTTATGAGTACCTCTTATAGGGCCTAATAGTTTACTTAATAGTTTCTGTTCATAGAAAGTAACTTACTAAACATAAAAACATTAACTATGCCATATTATATTAAATTTAATTAATAATAAATCTATTAAAAATTATTTTACTGCATAAAATATGATTACTTTAACTCTTTCACTGCATCAAGCCAATGACAACGACTTGATTTTTTTAAATTTTTATAATTTGAAAGCCAAAGATCTTAAGGCACCCTTAAAAATATTGTTCACTCTAAATTTCAAAATCTAGTGTTATTTTATAAGACACATATAAGTGTTTTGGTGCATTTCTAAATATTGTTTTTTGAAATAAGTTGGAATATATAGATATACAGGTTTTCAGAGGAAGACGTGCGATTTTACGTTATATATGACTATGCAAAAAAAATGTTTTAACGATTTGACCACGCCATATTTTTAAAATTTAAAAACGTGCTACAAAAACTTACCTAAATCTGAAAAAAAAGTTTAAAAAAGTAATAAATATTAACGAAAGAGAAAATAAAAAAAATACTTAGTTAAAGCAAAAACACAAAATAATATATATATATATATATATATATATATATATATATATATATATATATATATATACATATATATATAAATATATATATATATATATATATATATATATATATATATATATATATATATATATATATATATATATATATATATATATATATATATATATATATATATATATATATATATATATATATATATATATATAACGCAACTAAAACAAAACTCATCAAACTAAAATGCTTAGTCTATTTAATTTACGCATAAAAAACCTTTTCAATCTTTGTTTCAACATTTGTATATATTTTTTATTTATTTAATATGTTTAAAAGTTGAATATTTCTCATAAAAAATACATATTTATATAAAAAAAATTTTATTAATACTTTTTTTTTTAATCAATTAAAAGTGTTTATTTTTTTACTTCATTCAAAGCGTTTCAATAATATAAAAGCATTTAAGATCAAACTTATTAAATTGTAACGGTTTTCTAAAACTTTTTTTTAAAGAAATTTTGTTAATCTTTTTAAATGCTTCAACTTTAATCATTCTTATATTTAAATTTGTTAAAGAGATTTTTGTAGTTGTAGAATGTCATCGTTTATAAAAACAAAACAATTTTTTACTTGAACAATTTTTATGTTTTAAATTTAAAAAATATATACAACTGTCAAATATATTTAAAAAACAAAACTTTTTTTTAGTAAATTGTTACTTTATTTAAAATCGTTTCGCTAATATAAAAACATTTGTTAAGAAGTTTTGATGTAATTAATTTCGCTTTTCTAGAATATTTTTTATTTAGCGCATTTCTAAAATGTTTTTTGAATTAGCTGCGGTCAAACTGTCATAGCAAAATGTAACTTGCGTGGTCATATAAAGACGTAAAATCGTGCGTCTTCCTGTGAAAGCCTGATATATATTCTTGTTATCAAGAGTTTTAGTTTTTGTAAAAAAAATCAACCTAAATATAATAATTAATAAATACTTTATGTGTAAGTTGGTAAGTATAGCAGATATATTTTATTTTTTCAGGTTTGATACTCATGCAAATGCAGCCACAGCAATATGCAAATCCAACGGGACAGAATTAGTTGGGTCATGTCTTAAAGTAAGCCTGTTAATGACTTTTTATCATTATACTTATGTATTATATAAAGTATATAAGTTATATGTTATATATTATATTATATAAAGTATGTTATCAACTGATATACAAGTTAATATGCATCTATTAGATATGTAACAAGTTAATATGTATCTATTAGATATGTAACAAGTTAATATGTATCTATTAGATATGTAGCTTTTTTCATTTTTCAAAACTATAAATGGTATAATAATAAAATCCAAAGAGAAACTATTTCATGTGAAAATTTTAGGAAAGTCCCTAATTTTTTTGTTTGTTTTTGTTTTACTGACCTATTTATATATGGTTTTTCCCTTGTGATTGTAGATTTTGACTGAAGCCAAAAGAGGGTTCAATATTATGCTTAAATTATATTCAATGACTTTTAAGTTAATTTTGAAGGCTTTTCAATTTTGAACAATAACCACTGACAGGAGGTAAAAACAATCAAAAGAAACCCCTTATCCTTGGATTAATATTACATACTGCCGATAAGTTGTTGTATAAGCACAGCACTCGAAATAATTATTTAGAGGTTGCTGATCAACACTGATCAACTGAAATGATAAAAATTAAAAAGATGATCAAATAATTTTTCGAACGATCAAATTTTTTTTTTGTTAGTAATAGAAACTAAAAAAAATTTGATCATCTGGAACGTTTGATACAAACTTTGTATCAAATTTTTAAAATTGTAGTAATTTTTGCTTCACACTTTTAATGTTTGTGCTTGATTGAATGTGCACTGCTTATTCTGCAGAATTTCTACTTTGTCTAAAATTCTGAAACTATAAAAAAATAAACTTATACCGTACCTTGTTTTAAAGTGTCACGTTATAAATACAAACGAGCCTTTTAAACAACTTTTTTAAATGTTTCGCTATAAATGCACTTAAGCATGTCCTTATTTAAAAAAATGCTGGACAATTGTTGGGCCTTAGTATATAAATTTTTATGATGAGTTGTTCGGCATATCCTAACTTATAAAAATTAACAAAAAAGAATTTAAGTTGATTTTTGTTATGAATATCTCGTCCATTTATGATTATTTTTTTATATTTATATTACAAAATATTTTCGTTATATTTATAATATAAATATTTTTATTATATTTATAATATAAAATATATTTTTTACATTCATTTAGTTTAAACTATAGTTTAAACTAAACGACTGTTTACAACAACAATATAAACGATTCTTTTGTAAAATCATTTAAAATTGACAAAAACACGAAAATTTGATTAAAGTTATCTTTTATTCAAAGTTTATTTGAAATTAAAAAAAAACATGCAATTTTGATCAAAGTATCATTCATTCAAAGTTTAATTGCAAAAATGTTTTTTTTTCTCGTGTTCTATGCAATGAAAAAGCTACTCAAGTATTAATCGAACTTTTTTGGTTTTGGTTACCCAAATGAAATGGTAGTTTTTAAATAAAAAAAAGAAGAAATAATTTGAACTTTTATTAATTCTTTTTTTTAACTTTTATTTTATAAGAAATACTACGAACTTTTAAGAAAACGTGTTGATTGAAACTTTAGTGCAACAATATTATTTTAAAATACTGTTTGTAATTGTAACTTTCTTTCATAGACTTTTACTTTATTTTTAGCAAGTGTTTCATATACTGTTTTCCTTTTAGAAGAAATAATTTTCTGTCGCTTTTTCCCGCATTCATTTTAATGATTATTTTTATACCTTTTATTATAATTTTACTTTTAAAACTTATTTTCTAAAAATTTTAAACAAAAAAAAATTTAATTTTGCTTAAAGCAAATTGATGTTATGATGTATAAATTATGATAATTTATGAAGTCAACATTCCTTCTTCCAATCATAAACTCGAAAAATATGAAGAGGTTCGTTTTTTTTTTTTTTTTAAATAAGGATAAATTAAATTGTTTTTAAAGGATACTAGTGAAAACTTGTTTTTATTCTTCTACTTATTAGACCAGTTAGATGATTTAGTGTCAAACCAAGTATTCAGCAATTTGTTTTATACTTGTACAAGCCTATACAACGAATATGTTGAAATTAGATGCAAAATTTAAAAGTTCTTAACAAAAGCCACTAAACCAAAAATTTTAAAAGTAATTGCAGTTCAGTGCACTTAAGAGTTTTAAGTATACGATATTGGTGTTGGCAAAGAAACTACATAAATTAGTTTTTAATAAACTACTTTTTTTCAACTTTGTTGTATATGCTGGTTTAGCGCTTAAATATCCATTTTATTGGTCTTGAAAAAATCTTTATTTTTTTAAAACCTAAAGTACAAATATTTGTATTAGTTTGAAATACAAATATTTGTATTTTGAAATATAAATATTTGTATTAGTTGAAAATAGAACTTTTGTAGTTGGAAAATAAATTGTACATTTGTATTGAAATTTATATTGGAAATCTAGAATTAACATTTTTGATCAAATGTTTTTGACTCCAAACCTGGTGACTACTATTTGATCCTAAAAATTTAAATCTGTACATAGAGAGCTGTCTATAATAAATATAATTTGTAGAAGTAATAGGGCAACACATATTTTTAGCAAACTGGCCATTCTGCAATAGCTGCATGGCCAGTTTTTGCATTACAACTTGCACAATTCTTTCAGGTATTACCTCGGGTATTACCTCTGTTTTCTGCAGTTATTTTTTTTAATGACAACTCTTGATGAGTTAATCTACAGAAGTACTTATGTTTTTGAGTATAGTATTGAGCTTATCACATGTCCTATGCATGTAAGGATAACCAAAGCTAATGTTGAATTTTTCTGCAAATGTTTTTCTGATAAAGAAAGAAGTTGAAAGTTAATCAATATCCAATAATATTGATATAATATATTTTTCTGTTAAAGGGGAACTCCAAGTCAACCATATGACAGACTCAAACAGTTTCTACAAGATATTACAAAACAACTTATCCAAAATCAATAATTAGCTTGCAAAACAAAGCTTGTCTATTTTTGCTTTAAACTCAATAATGGATTTTGATTCAACAACTACAGGCAGTTGGTTCCATAATTTTAACACTTGATTGATGAAAAAATTGTCATAAAGATCCATTTCAAGGATATTCATATCTTTCTCCATAATAAGGTGACAAATTTGGATTGCATTCTCAAAGTCTTACACATTACATAGCTTATGTACAATTGTCTGAAAGATGATTTGCTTTTGTATGTAATTATTTTTAACAATAAACCCAGTTTACTATTTACTTTGGCTATTACTGTTTTAATTTGAGCTTCCCCATTTTAAATCTTGTAAAATTGATACTCCTAAATCTTTTTCCAACTCAGTAGTGCTAAGAAATTTAGTTTTAATGTTTAAATTCTAATTGCCTAAAAATATATTAATGTTTTGGAATTAGTTTGCCAATGTGCATAACTTTGCATTTATCTAATTTTAATTTCATCTTCCATATTTTATTTTTCTATTATGTTATAATTATGTCATATCATTTTGATCGGTTTGAAGTATTACTTAAATAATCGCTTAATTTTTAAGTAGCTGTAGCTTTTGTGATTTTGTTTTGTGGAAGCGCTCCTTGTACATAACATGTTTTTTGATAAATAAATTTAAAAAAATTAATCCATACAGTGCGCAATGACTTTGTCTTCTTTTAAAAGGCTTAATATGGTCAGCAGGGATTATCTATTTCTGGATATCTAGAGAGTTCCAGATATCACTTTTAACTTTTAGTTTTTTTTTGCATAACATGTTTTTGTATATATAGGGAAATTCCAATGGCAATTGAAATATCACTAAAATAGCAAATAAAATATTTTTTAAAAATATAAAAATAAACACACATTCTTGGATAATCGCCTTAAATCTTTACCATAAAAATAAATATCAACAAAATTAATTTTTAATATAAAAGTAAAAGTCAACAAAAAAATTTTTTAAAAAAAAGTTAAATTTGAAAACCAGAAAGTTTAAGATTAAAAAAATAGCTTTTTATTTAAAAATGCCTGCCTGTCCCTACTTAAGCTCTTAGTCAATGAAGTTTTAAGTAGGGGCATAAATGATACAGAGGTTTGCAGGTTATTGCAGAAAAAATAAATTTTTGTATGTTAAAAACCATTTGTTTTACATTCCTGAAAATTTGATCACAGAAAAAAACATTCTACATAAAAAGTTCAATGTAGTTCAATATAATCTCCTCTAGAATCTACTACACTCTTCAGACGCACAGGCACTGCATTGCAGCTTCATTACATCGTGTCCGGACACACATTCTTCCATATCTCTAAGTTGTCTACAGTGACGAAAAAATTTTCAAATTTGAGCATTAGCCCAACAAATATAACAGCAGAGAGTTGTTTTGTTTTTCTAAACTTCTAGGGAATTTGTAATTAATTTGTTTTTCTTGACTTCTAGGGAAGTCTAGAAAAACAAATTCATTACAAATTAGGACTATAACAAGAAGACAGCAGATGGTATGGAGTGACACATATTTAGATGGCTCCAAAACTCCACTTGTCTTTGTTCCTGAAGGTGTCAAGGTGAACCAAATAACTTATGTTGAAATAGTATATAAAAACTAACTCATTGTCTTGGGCCAAGAAGAAGTTTTGTAATGATCCAATTTTCAGCAATGCATTACAAATCTCAGTCCCCCCCCCCCCCACCTTGCCCTAAACATGAGAGCAACAAGTTGATGAAATATTTTTTGTGTTATTTTCAATAAAACTTATATTCATCTAAAAATTTTGAATTTCATAGTAAAATAATTTAGTGATCAAAAAATATGACCATATAAAGTTTTAACACTCCTCAATTTGAGGGGTTGCAAATTTTATATGGTAATAATTTTTGAACACTAAAATGATACTATGAAATTAAAAATTTCTCAATGAATATGTCTAATTAAAAATAGTACAAAAAATATTTTATCAATTTTTATTTCTAATTAAAAATAGTACAAAATGTCTAATTAAAAATAAAAATGTCTAATTAAAAATGTCTAATTAAAAATGTCTAATTAAAGACAAAAATGTCTAATTAAAAATAGTACAAAAAATATTTTATCAATTTTTATTTTGCTCTCACATTTGGGGCAGAAGGGCCATTCTCCTATCACAGTTATTTTTTTTGTAAAGAATCTTTTCATCATACATATGAATGTAAAATAATTTTTTTTTTTTTTTTTAAAGTTGGTTACTTCAAACATTTAAAAACCTTCCTATGCCACTAGATATGAATCGCTGACTTAAAAATGTACTGCAAAAATGTGCCCTTTTTTAAGTTAGCGATTCATATATATTTATGTATATAAATATATTTACATGTTTAGACATTGGTATTTACATAATAAATGTATAATTAAATAAATTATATTAATAAATTTGATTTATTAAGTGTTGGTGGGGTAAAGATGGAGGTCCTGAATCTAGTCATGGCAGTAGTGGATATACTAACCATAGCAGTTCCCACTATTCTTCTAGTGCAGCTAGCTATCAGCAAAGTATGCAAGACCAAAGCCAGTATGCACAAATGACACCACAGCAGCAACAACAATATATGCAATACATGGTAAGACAGGCTAATATTATATTGAATTTAAATGAAATTTTTTCCTTTAAATTATTTATCTTATTAAATGTTACATTTTAAATTTCTTAAACTGTTCTGCACAGACTTAATGCAAATGTTATTATCTGTAAGATATAATTTATTAGCACACACAAGTTATAAATATATTTTTTTTTTGCTGTTTACTCATTTATTTATAAGATAAATTTTCCTTCGCTTTCAAGTTTAGTAATTTTACTACATTTCTATATTTATACTAAACTTTAGCTTTTGGTTTAAAAGGTTTGTTTTAAACTTTAAATTAAATTTTTTTTTTTTAAAGTTTGCTTTAATTTGAATAAAGATTTTTGTAATTTAAGAAAACAGCCATAACATTTGTATCCTTGTTTACATTCTAAATATAGGATCAGCAGTTTACTTAATATTCTTTATTAAGGTGGGTGTTAACCAAAATTAAAAAAAAAGCTACATTTTTTACAAAAATTTAACCCTAAACTATTTAAACTTTATAACAGAACTGAAATTATGTATCAAGGATGTAAAAGAACTCTATGATCAATAGCTTGCAAAAAAATTGTAATCTACTTTGGGTACCGTTCCCATGGAAACCAATTCAATAAAAGGTTATCTCAAAAGATCTTAATTTTTAAAATCTTTTTGAACTAAAATAACAACAACAGAAAAAGGATTAATTTGATTGAGAGATTTTTGTTCATGACAACAGTTGCCATGGTAACAGAAAACCGTTCATTTATAGTTACGGGACCTAGGAGTCAAGGAAATTTAAAATGCTTCGCTCAAATAAATCTTTCAGGAATTTATCCCTCACCACCACAAAACGTATTCAATTTTTTTCTTTTCTTAACTCTTTAAAGCTTAGTCCACTAATATGACATCTACAAAAGATTGTTTTACCGTAGGATTTCCAAGCTGAGATTCAATAATATTATTTGTCGGTTTCTTATTCAAAAGACAAATAAGTTCAGTTTATTCTGGTGAATGCAGTTTGCATGTCCCGAACTTTAAATAACGAGTGTAAATAATTTTTGCAATGTTTTGAAAGGTTGAAAAGCGATTTTAATTGCGCTCTTTCCAATTCTAAGTTTTGGATTGTTACGTCATTGGTTTTACAAATTTCCAGACCGTAAGTTAATGTTGGTACTACCAAGGTTTAATATATACTAAACTACAACATTTATATATGAATTGCTAACTTATCGCTAACTAATCGCTAAAAAGGGGACATATCCTGTAAAAATTCACATAACTTGTCCCCTTTTTTAAGTTAGCGGTTCATATAAACTACAACAAATTTTTTATTTTTTTTACGGTTTGGTTAAATAATAGGTTTTTAGTTTAATGCAAAACATTTTTAGACTTTAAATTTTGGACCATAATGTTCTATTACAATGTTAAAATTATGGTTGCTAAGGCGTTTTTAAGGTAATAGTTTCACTAATGCAAATTTATTGAAAAAAATGTGTAAAATTATATATTTTTTTAAAGTACGGAAATTTCTCTATAAAATTACATTAAAAAAAAAATCTGATACTTTTCAAAAATTTTAGTTAACGCCCACCTTAATTTATTAGTAATTTAGAATTCTAAATAACAATCATTTAGATATAGAAGGCTATACCTAAACTCATTAATAACAATACTTACATGAGTTACTTTTAAGTATAACAATAAAACAACACAAAATAAAATTATTCTAAAAACAACATAAGGGTAATAAAAGTAAATATACATTCAGCTGTTAAATTAAAGCTTATAAATATCATTATAAGAATAAACAAATTTGCCTGTAAACAAAATCAAAATAAACAATTTCTCAAACAAAGTAATGCATAAAGTTTAATTTATTTATATAATCGGTAAATTAATAAAAAAAGACATACCGATTGTAAAGTGGCCGATTACGTCGATGCCGATTAGTCAGTATATCACTAATTATTACGTAATATATATGTATATATTTTTCTAGATATTTAACAACCATGATAGTTTGTTTCACATTTTTCTAGGGCGTCATCGAAGTTGAAGCTTAAAACTTGTCATTAAATTTATAATGCATGTTTTTAAAAGAGAAAAAAATTAGTCTTTTTTTTTTCTTAATATACACAACATAAGTTTTATTGTTAAGTTACAAGTGTTAAAGGAATTTAAAAAGTTTTGAAATATTTTCACAAAAACTCTTATAACTAAAAAAATATGTAACTATAGGTACATGTATTGAAAGTAAAATGTAACCACACGTAAATACATAAATTTTAATAGATTAAAAATTTATATATTTATGAGAAATTAATTTTATAAATTAAATTTTTTAGCAATACCATCCTTATTACCAACAACAATATTATCACTATTGGATGCAACAGTATCAAGCTCAAATGCAGCAAAGTGGTGGCCAACAAGCATACCAGCAGCAGCAAACTTACCCTCAACAAACTTATCCACAACAGCAACAGACATATCCACAGCAGAACTATCAAAGTTAATATTTTGGAATAAAAATTACGTGAAGGTGCTGTGATAGCGCTAATGTATACTTTATATATATACTAATGGAAGCTTCGTATGTTGACTTTTTGTGATTCTTGTATGCCCGTTGTTACGAATAAATGCCGAAGTCAAGATTTGTTTTTGCTTTTTATTAATATTTGTGTTGTGTTAAGTTTTGTATGGTTTCTACAAACCAGCCATTTTGCAATATATTGCAATGATTGTATTTCAACGAAGACGTTTAAAACTGCGAAGTAATTAGACAATGGTTTGCTTAACTTTTAAAGTCAGACGAAAATTTTTTGAGTTGTTTGTCATCATCCGGAAATTTTTGTCCATTATCGACAAAAAAGTCAGAGTTTCTGGTGGTTTGTACTTCTATTTTTTGTTGCGCCATTAAACAAAGTTGTTTTTATTTAGTAATGACGAAATAGAAGTATAGAACAGACTAGATCTATTTTTGAATCTTTTCGTGTATTTTTAAATTTTAAACCTTTTTTTTTCTCTCTTAAATTTACATTTTGTTCGAATTAGACGAGTGAATGTTTCCCCTATTGAAAAATGCAAATTATTTTTGGCGTTACTTTTCATTTGATTTCAAATGCTTTATAAGGCGCTTTTAGTTTTTTTTGTTTGTTATGTTCTGCTGTCGACGGACATGTTTAGCAACAAATAAGAGTTGATCTTGAGTTGACCTTGAGTGACAAAGAATTTCTTTTACAGATTAAGTCACTACATATGAATTTCCCCATAAAAACTAAAGTAGATAGCAGTTTCAAAAATGAATTAAAATCCGCTATATATGCAAATTTTAGGATTTATAACTTATTTTTTTTTATTTGCTTTGATTTCATTGATTTGGTGTTGATTTTAAATGCATTTTTGAGTATTTGGTGACAATAATTAGTGATAAACAAAAAACAATACGAAGTGTAAAACGCAGTAAAATTAATTTAAACTAGCAGTTATTTTTAATTAAAAATAACTTTAAGTTTAAATTGATATTCAAAGTTAAATTTAAATGTATTTGCGAGGGATGTAGGGGAGACCGGGGTTGGTTGCAACAAAATTTTAAAAACGTAACTTATACCCTTTAAATATATATTTTTTCGATTTTATTTTTCAGGGTTATAAAATAGATTTAAGTTACGTATTAATCCAACATTGATAAATAAAATATCAAATTTAGTTATTCCGCAATAGTGAAACAAAAATATGTTGCATTTTACCCCGCACCGGGGCGAATTGCAACAGTGCACGGGGCAAGTTGCAACACAATACTTTTAAAGTATAAGCTTTGCAGAGTTCACATAAAAATTACTAGTTAATCTGTAATTTCTATTTGGCAACAAAACATTATAATTAAAAGAAAAGAAAAGTAGTATTTTAGACTTGACATGTACCTGACATGTTTAGTAAACTAATGCTTACATTCAAAGACTTTAAAAACTGAAGAAAGAAAATAATGAGGATTATTATTTAAGCTCATATATTATTTAAACTTTTAAGTGTTTTTTTAAAAAAGTATTCCTTTAGTTATTCAGTAAACATTAAATCAATTTATAAAAATGCAAGAGTAGTTTTATAAATAATATAAAACACAACTTTCATAAAAATAAACAATAATCTAACTTTGATAACAAAAAAAAAAATTTCCAAGCAATAAAGGCTCATAAAAAAACAAACTAGCATTAAAGAAACTAAAGAGTTTCATTACATTTCAAGTCAACAATTATACTTTTTTATTGTTTTTTTTTTTGATGCAGAAGTACTAGCAGATTTTCGCTTTCTAGAACTAATTTCTTTTTCAGCCATAAGACGCTGTTTTACTGGTGTATCTGTGAGTACTTCTGTATGCTTTCTCTTTGATCTAGTGAGTATTTCTTTCCTGGGTCGTGCTTTTGGTAGCGGTCTTACAACCTCAGGGGAAAATTTTGAAACTGCAGATGGAATTGCATCTGAGGTTGAAGTTGATATACTAATATCAATAGCTGCATTAGATTGGGTTGCTGGACGATCCGTAACAAATGATGGAGCAAAATCTGCATCTGAAAATATATCCTTATTATATGGCAATATTCCTGCCACTCTAAAACCAGAAGATATATTTTGTTGTGTAAGAGAATGTTGTAATGCTATTTTTGCAATTCCTGGTAAATCATATATACTCATTGTTTTCCCTGGACTACTTTTTATCCATGAGTCTTGTGCATTAGCTAAGCATTTTTTAAATGGTCCGAATACAGATCTATCTAGAGGTTGCAACTTATGCGAACAATGAGGAGGGAAAGAAAGCAAAACTATACCATTATCTTTACACAATGTTATTAATTGAATAGATAAATGAGATTGATGATTGTCTAAAAGTAATAACACAGGGCTTTCTTTTGATGGCTTTACATGTCGAATAAAGTGGTTTATGTAAGTAATAAAGCACTCCTCATTCATCCAGCCTGATCCATTCGAAGCACCAATGCAGCCATTTGGCCCATCACGAATAAAGTGATCAAAGAATTTCTTTCTTGGAAAAAGAAACATTGGAGGCACACTATTGCCATATGCATTTACGGCTATTACCATTGTCACTAATGTCCCTCGCTCTTGAGAAGTTAATGCACCCACTTGCTTAATGCCTTTACGAGCAATTATTTTGTTTGGTTTTTGCACAGTGGTGATACCAGTCTCATCAACATTAAAGATATTTGATGCAGAAAAATGATGCCTATCTAAAACATCTGATAATTTTTGAAAAAAAACACCTACATTAGCACGATTAAAGCTAGTTGCTCGTGCAAGACTTGTTGCTTCTGGAGTTCTGATAGACAATCTTGGATGTCGGTTTAAAAACCCTCTCATCCAATCAGGACCAGCCATGGAATGTTTTAACCACGATTTGGGAAAAATAATACCATACTTTACTGCACATTCAAATGCAAGCTTTCTTGTTTCATATGGTGATAATCCAAAATAGATATCAGAACATATTGATATATATGAAGCAATAGCTATTTCTTGTTCATAAGTAAAAACTTGATTCTTTTTATATCCAGGATAAGGTAGTGGCATTCCCATATCAACAGCTTTTTTAACTTTTTTTATATAACGAGAAAGAGTCGAGTAGTGGATTCCAAACTTTTTTGCTGATGCACGAACTGATGTTACTCTTCCATCAATAACGTGGCTTGCTGCCTCTATTACTACTTCTTTTGGATAAAGTCCTTTTTCAGTTTTTCTCTTGTAAGTTCGCATTTACAATTTTTATTAAACCTCTAAATAACATAACAATAAAAAAACACATTACAAAAATCATTTTATATAATTTAGTCTAAATTGCTACATTTATTTATATACCTATTAATGTTTTAAGTATGTACTTAATAATAATAATATTTTAATAATGTAATTATAACTTTTACGTATGTATGTATATAAATGTATATATATAAATGTATATATATATATATATATATATATATATATATATATATATATATATATATATATATATATATATATACATTGTATATATATATATATATATATATATATACTGTATATATATATATATACACACTGTATATATATATACACACTGTATATATATATATATACACACTGTATATATATATATATATATATATATATATATATATATATATGTATATATATATATATGTATGTATATATATATATATATATATATATATATATATATATATATATATATATATATATATATATATATATATATATATATATATATATATATATATATATATATATATATATATATATATATATGTCTTTGAATATAAAAGATAAGTTTATATTCTATGTTTATATTTATATTCGAGGATTATATAATCCTCGAATATAAATATAAACATAGAATATAAACTTATCTTTTATATTATTAGACATATATACATATGCTTTATAAATATAACATACATATGTACGTTACATAGTCTTATCTTTAAAATTATAATTTTTTTTCAAAAACTTCTTTGCTGTCTTGTTATTAAAAAAAAGTCGATTATTTAGAAAAGTGCGTAAAATTAATAAAGTCCGCAGTTCTTTTGTGATTCAACTTACCCCGAGCAATTTGATGCAACTTACCCCGTAGGCATCATGATCACTCTAATCAATGCATACAATTAGCCATATTAAAAAAATCTATTTTTTTTTACTTTTTGTGTTTGAAAAAGATTTTTTTAACTTACTATTATTTTATTATTGTCATATACTTCTTAGTTTTTTGTAAAACCCAAAAAAACATTGAAACGAAAATTAGAAATTTATATAGAAAAAAAACAATTATCAATAACTTTTAAATTTTTAAGTTTATTACTATAAGTTTTTTATAACTTGCGTGTCATAATTATAGTTATATAATGTAAAAAAATTGAAAAATAATATGTAAAAATTATTCTTTAAAACGCATTGTTGCATCTTACCCCTGTTGCAACCAACCCCGGTCTCCCCTACCAAAGCTAAAATTTTGCCGAGGTTGAAGCTTCGGCACTATACATGCTTAAAATTTAATCAGCATTTAGATCAGCAGGGGTGTAAAACAAAAAAGGTACCAAAACTAAGGTCCTTGACTAATAATATAGAAAAATCGTATAAAAATGAGGACGCCAGTCAGGGTTGCTGTCCCAGGCAGGGCAAAAGCTCTCAGCGCCCCTATTTGAAAGTTTCTCATTATCTCGTTCCTAATAATTGACCGCACCGAACGTTTTTTTTTTTAAACTAAGCTTTTTTGAAACAATCTTCTCAAATTTTCCTACTTCTAGTTCTACTTTTTCTCCGTGCAAACCATATTAATGTTATAAAGCATCTTTTCATGTGCTGTATATTTTGTTTTTAATGCACCTTTTGTTAATAGAAGTAGATAAAAATCTCTGAACATTAATAGAGTAAATTCATCTTTTGCACTTGATCACTCTTTCTTTAAATAAACACTCTTAGCTGATCTAGTTGTATCAACAACAAAAAATCTTACAAACACACTTTATCTTTTTATTGCTATTTATTTCAATATATTTTTTTTACTTCTCTGTATTCATTAAACGAACAATTTCTAAACTAAAAAAAACCAAATTAGAACCATTTTTTATTCCACTACAACTGT